CTCAACCCCGCTATCCAATTCGACTATGCAATGTTCCGATTCCACATCCGCACCGGTCAGCACAATGTCCTGTTTGTCATAATATAGTCGGTACTTGTAATTGTTTCGTTATCAATTAGCCCGAGGAAATGACTTTGATGATGAAAATCTTGCTTTTCATTTGGATTATTTATATTAGAGCAATTTAAAAAAAATAAAGGCCCAACTTTTAAAATTATATACTTTAATAATTTTATTAATAAACAAATTCATTAATTTGTCTGAAAATTGAATTTTAAAACTGAAATTTACATATGAAATATACTTCAATTTGCTTTTATCTTTTCTTCACAAAGTTATACTTTTAAAAAAGTCCCTTGTATATTATAAATATCAATTTAAAAATTATATACTGTTATAATTTCATTAATAAATAAATAAATTTAATTGTCTGAAAATTGAATTTCAAAATTGAAATCTGTATATGAAATATACTTCGATTTACTTTTATCTTTTCTTCACAAAGTTATACTTCTCAAAAGTCCCTTGTATATTATAAATATCAATTTAAAAATTATATACTTTTATAATTTCATTAATAAACAAATTTATTTAATTGTTTGAAGATTGGATTTTAAAACTGAGATTTATATATAGCTCACCTGTCGTGCAAGTAATATAATATGTTACAATGCTAATTTACGTGTCTGTCATATCAAGCTGTATAACAAGCGGCATAATATGTAATACGTGCTACTCGCAGACGATTGATGCGAATGCAAAATCAAACTTGGTTAACTAGCAGCTGGGTTACCGCGCGCGAGCTTCACCGTGTTCTGAAAACTCGTTAGGAAATGTCCGTTAGAAAATCCGCGGTGAGATCGGAGTGGAGTAATCGTAACAGCAATATGTTCAGTCATTCGACTCGGAAATGGAAAGGCAGAGAGCCTTCGCACGCAATAGACGAATCGTTTCGCGTCGAATCACGTATCGCGTGCGAATCGTTGACTTTCAATTTTCGATGCATCTAAGAAGTACCTCATCTGATGAAAGTAATTTTGGCGTTTTTAAATTCGTGTCGAAAAAAGATTATGATATTTCAGACGATTTTTGAAAGTCCTTAACAAAATATTTAGAAATCTTATGAAAATAAAAGAGCCGACTATAAACTCTTTACGTTCTAATTTAAGTTTGATTAGCTAAGCTCTTTTAAACTTCTATTTAATCAGATTAATCTCTGTATCAATCTCTTATTGATACATAGAATTGAATTTCTGCGCGAGAGAAGATTGCAGGACGCGATTTCATCGAGTTGCAGTTATTAATGGAAATAATTAATAGCTGCTCTATCGCATACAGATTATGCCCTTGCATCACGATGGCAAATTACACCGGAATGTGTTCTGTGTGCCGACAAGAGATTACTACGTCCACTTCGGGATGAAAATCGAATTTAATCAAATCTGTATTGTGCGATGGATATTATTACGAAACTAGAGCGATATTCTGGATTTCGGTTACAAATCCGTCTCGTCCGATCGAGCGAAGTTTTTCGATTCGCATATCGTTCTTTATATCTCGATTGCTTCCTTAATTTCTGCTGAATGTTAACGTGAAAATCTAAAGCTTGAAGCAATTTCGTTTTTGTTTTGCCCCATGTATTTGATACAAGACTCGGTGAAAAGCGCAAAGTTAAATGAATTCACGCAGAGGTTTATAAAAGCAGACGTAAAATACTGCATGTTTTAATTACCAACTATGTACTGTAATATTATAAATCTAGCTATTATATCTTATTATATCCCTCCGCTCTTATAGGTGTATGCATATTTCTCTCCGGATTTAGAAACTACTGCCTCTAATGACCTGTGCGTTGTTGACGTAAGTAAGCTACGTAAGATCTCGCAGTAATTCTTCATCGGGCAATTTCTTACGTCGATATCGCAAGACTGATACATTTTCTATTTTAATAGAGATTTTTATCCTAACAACTATTACACACAATTAGAAAATAACGAACAGCTTGTGATTAAAAAAAAAAAAAAAAAAAAAAACTAACTTTAGGAAAGAACAATAAATTCTAATTCTGTTAACTCTCTCGGACTTGCTAGCGTTTAAATTTTATTGACAGATTTTCTGATTAACGTAAATTTCTTTTTCAAACAAAGAAGTAAATTCTTGGCACACACAATTACAAAAATCTTACTTGGTGAAATTTAAATGAAATTTATGATAATTTTTAATTGGTATGCAATTTATATTTTTCAAGATTGTAAAGTTTCAGGAAATACAACAATTAGTTTAAAGCCTCGAGATTTCGAGAGAGACAATATGTTTATTTCATTAATAAAGCTTAAGATAAAGCTGAGATACTTGGCCTTTGATAAATGCAACATGAATACGCTCGTCAGGAATTGCCAGGATGCGCAAAAGAATTTCCATTGCATCTCATTTAAAAGTTTAAAATCATCCGGTTCTCGCTTCTTGTCGTCATAGAAAGGTCGCGCGAGCTATCTTTTCTTTTTTTTTTATCTCGCAATAGAGGATCAAGCTGGGAAAGAAAGAGCGTCTCGATATTGGAATCGCCGGCGAAAGGGATTTCTTAACAAACAATTAGCAAAACACCTTTGTAGATTAGCCTTATACCCCAATTTACTAATTGCTTTTTTAAAATATATTTAATCAATTTTGAACGGGGGCAAAACTCTCTAATACAATTAATAAAAATAATAGACATCAGATTGAGATAAATCAGGCGGAAAAAATAACAACAGAAAAATTACAACTAACAATAAGAGTAGTTACATATTAAATAAGATAACATTTATATGATAATTTTTAATTAAAACATAACCGTCTTTTCTTATCGATTTATGTACGAGACTGTTGAACTCGCCACGTCGATGATATATCTTTGTGGTCCATTCGACGCGACGGCGATTTCCGTCATCATTTGATAGGAATACAAAGGGCATTGTATCTAGATCGGTTTCCGTTTACTTGGCAGCCAGACTTCGATTATCCATCGAGTTCAATCAACCAATTCCGTTTGTCGCAAACAATAGCAATTACCAAGTTATGGCCGAACTATAATTGTACTCTAACATCAGATTGTCTCTTATTAAATTCGAATACAATGCCAAATATACTGATACAATGCAAATATAATAATCTATTCGTTTGATACTGACGCACACATATCACGATATTGCTGTTTATATTTACAGCTGCATTGCTTTTACTAGAATGCACGATTTATATGCAGATTTTACACGATTTCCTCTTAGATTTATGGCATTATTATCCCAATTCGCATGATTAAATTCTCCGCTCGAAATAATAGCTCTTTCGGAATACTGATTCTTTCTTTTGTCGTCTTTTTCTCTCGCACATTTCCCTCCCTCTTTGCCCCCTTTCCCCCTTCTGTTATTCTTTCAATACTACATTTCTTCTCCATTCAACATTGCCAGACTCGGGTCTCGTAAAATTCGAGTTTAAATACGCCATTGAGAAATGCATAATGCGATTGTTGTGTGTGCACAGAATAAAACCAGTTTCTCTCTCGCAATTTTCCAAACTTCAACTTTTCATGGCTATCATTTAGCCTGCTTCAATCCCGTGTAAATTTTAATGGCTTGCAATTGAACGAATGAAGAATTTGCGAAACGGGTTCTTTTCTCAAAGTATGACTTTTCGCAATTTTTTTTCTTTTTTTTAAGAAAGTTGTCAAATGCATAAAATAATTTTTTTTTTCCCTCTTAATTTTACTTACAAAATCTAGAAAACATTATATTTTCATTCTTGTAAACAGATATCTATCCCCTTGAATAAATGAGATTATCTTTCAGTTCCTTCTCTCTCATAATTTGCCGATATTTGTCTATTTTTTTAGAAAGCTTTCTTTAAACATCTATATCAAAAATTTTCGATTAGCTACATGCTTGTATGTACGTTGCATTTTTCAATTATCACGGTGCTCAATTATTATGGTGCTCTCTGTATGCACTCTTGCAAGTAATGATGATTAATGATGGTTTGCGCGATGTCCATTACAATGGGATTAAGAGAATGATGTAACGTATTCTAGCCGTGACGTCGCGTTACTCTCAATATTCCACGGCGAATAATTCAGAATTTTCGGAATTAATTTGGAGCGCGCGGAGCGTGACTTGCGTCGCGCATATATCTTACGCTCATGTACAAAATCAAGACCGTACATATTGTCCTTTGTTATATTTCTTTTGTTGTCGGATTTTCTGTTGCGAGAAAAAAATTTGTATTTCTCGTGAAACAATTTTTTATAAAATTACAGATGCTTTCTTAACTTTCACTTAATTTTTCGACCAATTAATTTTTCAGATTTGTATGTGCAATTAAGTATATAACTTGTCGTGAACGTTACATTGAGAGAAATTTAATTTCGAACTTAATTCAGGAATTTAATGTGAAACAATGCAAAAAGTGAACTTTGCAGTAAATGATCGTGCGCAATCTAATCCAAATATTTGATAGGATCTGGAGGAAAAACGTTTATTCCCTCCATTCTGTATATAACAACGGTTCAGCGTGTATTCTGTTCATTACTGCTGAGCTTGCACGTGGGCGGGCTTTATCTGCTTACGTAACTAAACAAGCAAGTATTTGCATTTTTTTTTTCCTACACAGTGTAAAATCACTCGAGCATGTAAAGACTTGATAGGAACAAAGAATATGGCACGTACCATATGCAAATATGTATGCATACATATTTATTTAAGGCGACTTATATATATATATATATTGTATACATATACATATTGGTGTCGTGTCTGACTTTAATGTCCGTTACTACTGCATCCTTAGATTTGTATTTATTTTTTACATTCAGCCCAAAATGTGATGACTTGACTTTAATTATCCATATTATAGTCTTTCAAAGAGATTACATTTAATCTTAAACTTTTAATTAATAACAAATATAGTTTTAATATTGAATTATTATTTCCCAGATTATGGTGAATAATAAATCTCAAATAATATGATCGAAATACATGTATACTGAATTATTTTAGTTACTATTGACGTTGCAAAAATATTAAACTGATGTTAACATTATTTATCCTTTTCATTAATACTAATAATTTACTTATAATTAATACTAATAAATTAATACTAATAATATTGCAACAATATTGCTAACAATATTCCATTACGATATTTAATTAGCAAACAACACGTTTCAATTAAACTTTATATTTTTTATCTTTTTTAAAATGTATTTCTGATTTTATGATGGAATTGCATGCGAGTAAATAAAGGGTTAACAAAGGTAATCGATGACTTTTCCCGAAGGGGTCCGCTCGTCGTCGCCGAGTACGGTCCTGGCGACAGACTGGCGGCAGAGGTCGCGACTCAAAGAGGCGCTCTCCTCCTCGTCACCAACGATGGGATGAAGTCGCGGCTTCTGCTAGTTTGCCTTATCGCGCGACGCAGTATTCGCGATCACTCGCGATTAACGCGGACCGTGTACTGTCATTATCATCTGTCATCATCGGTCATCAGCGCAGTCGACACGAGTATCTTGCGGAAGGAACACGACGATCCAAAATAGCCGGGAAAACACAGACGTTTTTCACGACGGTGGGCGGTGTCAGGTTAGGTTCCCGATAAGGGTGAGTCCGATAAATTCTGTCTATAAGCGTCGATTTTGACAACGTGGGTTAATTCGCGTCGTGTCATTCGATTGATTTTCCGTTTCTCTCTGAAAGTGACAGTAGCATTTGACATATCAGTCATTGATAGATAATTCGATTAATGTGCTGATAAGCAATCTTGGTAGGGAAGATTCTACGTCTCATCTGATGACAGGCACTGCTTTGTTTATGTTGCGCTTTTTGGGGGGCGATGTACATTTCTCTGCCTCCAGTGTTTTCGTCTTTTTTTTTTTTTTTCATATCAGTGCGGTCCATAAGAACGGGGGAAAATTTTTTCGGATGAAAATCTCTTTGGTGATCGATGAAAACTTGGCTATTTCTTTTTATTATCAAGTAAATGAAATAAGAAAAAAAAATTCAGTTGCTCATTTATGTTGTTTATTATTTAATTGACGTGTGCTATTTGTTTAGCAATGTTAACATCAATTAAATTAATATTATTGAAAACTTGTAATATTTCTGGAATTGTCGTCATTGTATCTTATTTTATTAAGTCATCAAATAATTACAAATTAATTAATATTACAAATATTGATAATTTATTTATACTACTTAGAATACTTTATGCTAATTATTCATTAGAAAGAATACTGATTAATCAAATAAAAATTTTGAAAAACTATATATATTTTACAATAATATTTTCACAAGAAGTATTGCATTTTACATGTGCATATATATTTTATCTGTCATATCACAAAGTATAAAGAATATATTTACATTATAATACTAAATGCAAAAAAGAGATTTTTTTTCTCTTAGTCGTTCATTGATATGTTGAAACTTATTAGTATCCGCGAAAAGGGCGAGGTTCACGAAATTTCGTAATCCAGGATCGTAACTAGAAATTAATTTTAGCAGGTGCGAACAATATTTTTGACTTTAATATAATATAAATTAATATAGAACGTTATACATTAGTATAAAATTAATAGCTGTTTATTTTTTATCGCAGATAATTATTGTAATTCGAGTAATAATTATGGTCAAGCAATTGTTAGGTTTAAAACAAAGTAAATTATTTATTTTTTTAAATATTTTTAAGAGTTAGATATACTTTAAATATTGATTTAGTGTTTTTATTTTATATTGAGCTTTTTATTGAAAACATGAAAATTAATCTTTTCATTATACGTGTTCCATATATCATACAGCCATTTTCTGTGATTGCCATATATCTCAAACTATTAGTAAAGCTGAATTCCTTATTCAAATGCTATGAATGCAGGTAGACTTAAATGCGACCGTCTAATTTTCAACTCGTAATATCAGTCGTTTCATAGAAAGTAATTGGAATTATAAGATCTATTTTATATTCAGGGAAACATAATAAGATATTATTTGATATACATCACCATTTCTTGATATCAGTCGTAAAATTTGCGAAATTTATTTTATTACTTATTAAAGTGCGTTTATAATTAATAATTGTTTATTTTATCAAAAATGATTGTAATTCGTGTCATAATTATAGGCAAGCCGAACATTATTTTTATCATATGAAATACTAAGTCGTCCTTGTTTCGATAGAACAACGAGAAAGCCGCCAAGCTGGCGAGTCTAACGAGCTGCGTGTCGACGATGATGGACGACGAGGAGCAGGAGGAACTCCGCTGCACCGGCAGCGACGTCGAGATCGAGGAATACACCGACACCGAGGAGTCGCCATATGTCGCTTATCAGGCCGGTGGCGATAAGCTGTTCGATACCGATCGCGAAAACTGGCAGAAGCTCCGCTTCCTGGCCACCCTTGTGTCCGTTGCAATATCAGTTACCGTCCTCGTTATCACGTATCCGCTTTATCTCGAGAGCGTTGCCGCTGTCTCCAGCGCTTATACAGGTAGACACACGCACATAAACGCTTATACGTGTATGTATACGTGTCTCGAAATAGGTACGGCACATACTCAATTGACGAGAATTGACCGATCGATTATAAGGGATCTTGTAATTCCGACTCTCTCGGAATCGCAGTTACCGCAAACGATTTATGTATTTATATTCGTGAACATTTTTACCGTGATCGCGCGCATCATATAACTCTCGCATTTCCAAAATTACAGCTTGCGCTGACTTGCGTAAATTATCCCCGCGTGAAAAAAAAAGGCAACTGAATTATGCAAAACAAATAAACTATGAGTATAGGCTCTCAAGGTCAATACTAATTAATATACAAATAGCAATTTAGAGCCAGCGGTGGTTTCGAGGCGCATGCTTTATATTAATTATGAATTAGACATTTGTCATATTTAAAAAAAAAAATGAATTATGCAAAACACTCGATCCTACCGTCCAATTATAGTATTACCGTCCAATAATAGATACTCGATATAGTTTTATGTCGTTTATCAAAAGTTAATTAATCGTTAATTGTTATAATTATAGTAAATTATGTTTCGATACTAGTCGTGAGCACGTTAAAAAAAAAAATTTGATAATATACAAAGTTTGGCACTACTACATTACTTCTCAATATTTCCGTGCTTGTACTAAATGCCTAAAAAATATATAAATATATTCTCAGTGATTATTATATAGAGATATATATTTACAATAATTATAAATTTTCCGAATTAATTAATATAATGATGCTGTGTATACTGAAAGTAAAAGCAAATTTTATTTACTTAAAAATATTAAAAAAATAATAACATATTAAAATAATAGTAATAAAATGTCTATCTATTGTAAAAACTATAGAAACACAATGTTCAGCTATTAGAAAGATATAAGAGAGTATTATAGTGTATAATAGCTGAATGATAATAGCAGTTGCCTGGTAAAGGAAAGATCCCAGGATTCCGTTTATCCGCATGCATGTATTAATATCTTTGCCTGTGACTTACTGGTTTAATGTGCTCCAGCGCATGCAAAAAGTCACTTCTAATGATCATAATTTTCTCCATTGTGTCGAAATCAATCTCTATCTTGTTTTCATCAATTTTTATGAATCGATTTATAGCAATGTTTATTGCGACTCTGATCAGAGCCTCTAATTCGGCCTTATTAAAATTTTTAGTTTGGCTCGCCGACTCTTTTAAATTCACATCAGGAGCAATTCCATTTATCCGCATGCATGTATTAATGCCTTTGCCTGCGACTTACCGGTTTAATATCATGCTCTAACGCATATAAAAAGTCGCTTCTATAAGCTTTTGCCAAGAGAACCTCTCTAATCTATGCCGGAACCGGCGTTAAACTGTAGATCCCATATGTCTGCAGAGAACTATAAAAAGGCGCACACCGTAGATATATGTAGAATAGAGAAATGAAATAGAGCCATTTAAGTTTTATTAAGATTAGACGTGTTTTATTAATTAATTTTCAATTCGATGAAAAAAATATCGCGATGATCTCGTTTCGGTTTTTTCTCGTTTAACTCGTAGCGATTTAATTCTTCAACGGTCTGTATGCCGTTTCACAGGACTCCTTTTCACTGCCCTGTGCTCCGCCTGCATTTTGGGGATAGTGTACTTTGTCGTGGACAGAGTGTCGTCGCCGCCGCCGCTGATACCGAAGAGCATGCGAGTCAGGATACCCCGCTGCGGCCTGATCAAAATAAGCACTCTATATGCTCTTTCGGGTATCCTAGTCACCCTATCCCTCGATCAGAATAGAGTACTGTGCCACTTACAGGATCCAATAAAGGGCATTACTCTCGTCTTTTCCCTCGTCTATTACTTCTTCTTTTGTCGGAAAAGTGAGTGTCTTAAAGTTGTTAGTCTGTTATATAATTACTATAATGAACGAAACAGTTTTGTGAAATTTTATTTCGCAGAAACTTAATATTATTTAGATGAAAAGAATTGGGAATAGATTTTTCTAGATATATATTATCTCTTTTTTTAGAATTTATATAAAAAGTTTCTATAAAGAAAGATTATATATAGAGATTCCAGCGCGTTTTATCTTTAAAATTGAAATTTATATTTAAATTTTAGAGATATATTTTTCAGACAAATTCTTTTTTCTCGTCCGTTTTTTGGAGTGAATAATTTTTCTCTTTAATTGTGTATGTTAATATTACGAGAGAAACATTTCCTGCGAGTGTTTTCAGTGATGAGTCTGCAGCGAATATTTTCGAGCACGACCATAATAGTGGGTCTATTCATAAGCGTCGATTATGGTCTTTGCGACGAGTTTCGTTGTCGTGGACGGGAGGTTTCCTCGCATACGACGGCCGCTGGTAGGGGATCCTGGGGCGTCCGAGCAGTCTGGACGTTCGTTTACGTGGGCGCCCTCGCCACCTTCGCTATGTTTTTCACCTTGCTCGAGCAGCATTACACCACTGGGGTAATTTAGCATCGACCCATTCGCCAATTGAAATTTATTCGTAGTATCCGTGGGATATTCAACGATATATACTGTCGTAACTCTTATTAAAACTAATCTTGAGAAAATTTTTTTTCTGATTCCGCGCGACTATCATTTCTCTTTCAGGGAAGATTAAAAAACAGAATTTATAAATTAATTAGACGAAGAGAGATTCTTTAATTGCCACGTAAAAAGAGTTTTTTCACTGTTTTATAAAGAAGATCGCTACCCTAATGCAATTTGGAAATTAGATCTTTTTTTTTCTTCTTTTTGTTGGAAATTTTTAAACGGATTATTTTTTTCATTTGACACACGGATTACTTTTTCGCGCGGTCGGCAGATTTTTATTTTCCGAACAACTGGCTGCGACTGACGTCTGCGATCTCTGTTTTCCAGCAACAAAACGTGTGTCAAATGTTGACGACGCAGCACAACTCGTTCTTGTACACGGTGTCCCGCCTGGTGTCCTCTCGTGATATTCGTCGTCGTGGCTCGGAAGAGGAGGGCGGTCGACTGCTACACGTGACCGATCCGGATCCCACGATAAAACCAAAGAGCTACCCCAAGCCACCGGTGATGCAAACTCTCTTTTACATACATGTCATCGCTTTTTTTGCCATCTTGACGTTCTGCTGGCTCGACACTTTGCCCGGCATCGGCAGGGTGAGTAATGTCAAAAGAAACATGTCTTTCAGGTGTAATTGTTGATGACAAGTCAATCTTCGCGGATTTTTTCTCGGAGATTTTCTCAACAGAAATATTTTATTTTCGATTATAAATATTTTTTAATTTGAAATTATACTTATATCGCGAAGAAAAACCAACTTTTAAGGCTAATATTTAGTGTGATATTTTTATTCTCAAAACTTAATTAAGAATTTAAATATTTTGAATATTAAATGTTATTAAATTTTTTTCTGACAGTTTACTTCAAAGTTTACTTTAAGTTTGCTATGTCATTAATAGTAACTCTAGAAAAACGCCTGCAATAAACGAAAATGATTATTTTATTTTCTAGAGAAAACTTTTATAAACAGTTAATGAAACTGACAGTTAAAGAAAATATTTTTTACTTAATTAAATAATTTCTTTTAATGACATTTCAGGGTTTATCGCCCGTAGAATTGTACCGTACCGTCGAGCAGGGACTGATATGCCATTTTAAAGGCGGCAAACTATGCTCGAACGTTTCCAGCCACGGATGGACTTTTCTATTTGCTTACATCGTCTTCTCGATCTCGATCCTCAACTTCCTGTCTTTGTGCGAGAGTGCAGTATTTAGCGTGGCCACCGCGACCGTGTCGCTTCCGTTGTCAGGTATTTGGTGGAGTATTTACAGGATGAACGTCGACATACATGGAGGTAAGTAAATGATGCATGCGGCGTTATTATAGTTTCAATTACAGCTTCGAAACTTGTTTTATAAAATGTTAATATTGGCAGATAAAAGCTATTTACACAAAGAATAAATAAATCAACTAGGGTTAATAAGAATATTTTCCGCAATTATGAATTTTAAATCTCTATATATATTTAGGAAATTTATTTTTCAAGAGTTTATAAAAATTTTTTAAATTGATTTCGTATGTTTTACTTTATCGCATGAATTTTAAATAACTTAGGAAAGAGACAGACTTAATTTTAATATAAAATATATTTTTCTCTTTAATTCTTACGTTCTATTACGAAGTCATATTTATTTACGACTCTCTCATAATACTGACGATTACATGTAAATATCTCCAGCTTTGCTATAATGCTTGAAAATTAAGTGCGTTTGAGCATAATTTGATTACAAGCCGTTTCTGAAGAGAACCTTGAAATAGGTTCCATCTCCTGGTCGCCAGGAGTGACGGGCGAGCTGATCTGCGCCTTACTTGGTCTTCCCGTTGTGCTGCTGGGTCTCGGTTTGCTCGTCAGATCGCACTTCAGAGACACTCAGCTTCCTTACCAGACTATTCAGCCGCCCGATATTCAGCCGCACGAGCCTTGTCACAGATGAATCTCTCTGTGGCCTCATTGGTGTCATTTGGTGTGGCCTCGCCACCTAGTCCATGCTAACGGTGATCCATATAAATGAATTCTGATTGATTCGACGGAACGATGAAATAAATCGTTCCTCTCACGTCGAATTGATCGGAACGAACGAGACAAAGTTCACCGAGCCGGAATAATAATGTTATTGTTGTATACTTGACAGATATATTTTATCGACTGTTTTCAGACTACACCGATGTTCTTCCTTCGATCGCGAGATCACGAAGGTAAAATATTGACTCGCATTTATATTTTGCCAATCTGCATACAAGATTACAAATTTCACTAATGTCAGTTATCTCCGATCACAATTTAATTAATTTTCTTTTTTTTTTAAGATAGAGAAAATTAGAAGAAAAATAAAACAAAATATTAAACTTTTTATTACTAAAGAAATATCTATTACTAAATCAATGTATTATATCTTTTATTTAATTTAATCATAATCATTGTCCATACATGTATGTGTAAATTAATCGTTGACATTATTCAATTTAGATTGAAATCAACGGGGCAAGAATTATAATGATGTAATGAATTAACAATAGTTCAACTGACATTGGTGAAAAATGGCCGAAGATTTTTGAACGGCTATATTGTGTTAAATGCAATTTATACGCTCGCGCGTCCGCAAATTTCATTTTTTCAAATGTGGAAAAATAAGATTGCGGCGAGCACGCGTTTTTGTGATAAGGAATAGCGCCCATATATCTGTAACTTCCTTTATCGTGAAAAAAAATACGGATAGTGCATGAGAAAAGAAGAAGAGAGCGATAAATGTTTTCTATGTATTTGCCAAACGTAAACGCGCGCGCGCGACAACGTTATAGCCGATTTATATTTTATTTTGATATAACGAGATGTTTTATATATTTTTTTGAACAATTTCAAACTATACGTGTATTGAAAATTGAGTATAGAAAGATAAGAAAGACAAAAATATAAGCGGAAAGTACTTTTTTTAGCTGCGAATCTGCGCGCACAGGAGCTCCTTTAGCTAAGAATATTGCACTCTCGCTTAGTTTCCGAACTCGAACGTGATCATTATTGAGAAAAAAAAAAAAGCTAAAAGTGAGATATGATATATTTTAATTATTTGTCTAGTCACTACGAGCGTCTCTCTTTCGTTATTTAAAACATACGCGTTTTTCTAGAAATATATGTAACTCTCGGATGAGACGTTGAAAAAGAGAAAATCTGATAAGACGATGAATTGATATAACTTTATTGCAATTTTTCGTTATAAATCGGAAAATTGAGTTGAATTTGAAATGACACTTTGGCACTCATAAGTCAATTTAGGTAATCTTTGTTAAATTAATCTGCAAGAGTTTATTAGACATAGTATCGTTGAATAAATGTAAGATATGAATGTTATGAGAATAGAAAGTACAGAGATTTCCTCGATGAAGTAGAATTATTGAAAATTGAATCGTCGACAGTTTAAATTTTTTGGCGATTCACGATTGTGTGTTTCATACTCGAGCCAGTTTCCTGCAACATTCGCAGTTCCTGTGCGCGCGGATTGTACGCGATAGAGCGTAGTGTATTTCGCCCAAACTTGCGAGAAGGCAGTACTATATCTGCTGCACAAATTTGCAGCCTCCACTTTAGCGTATCTCCTCCACAATGGGAGAACACTAAAGTGGTAAGCGCGCGAGCGAGATACGTGCGCACGCGTGCGTATGTGTGTGATATCTCTCCACGACGTTCCATTAATGCGATAGACATTATTTTATCGCAAACTTTAGCGCACAAACTGTTACGAACTAGTACGTCCTGGCCGTGAGCGATAAATAGCGTTTGCCCTGTAAAACTTTATCGTGGATGAAAAGTTTCCAAATCGCGTTAACCGCCCGTTTACGACGCGCCGTTAGCAAGAATTCCCAGCAAGGCATGTCTTCCGTCTCGTCAATCAGAGTGCCAATTACCCATGATTATACATTTTTCCATGTATTTTTAAGTCTTCCCCCTATGAAGAATATCTATTTTACAGATATATATATATACGATATTGACACACTTCCAACAAAGTTAATATTTCCCTCTCTGACTTACGGTCTAATTAACTTACAGCCTGAATTCAGTAATCGCTGCCAACAAACTACGCCGCGTGTCACTTTTGACATACGACAAATATATAACGACACTTACATATGTATTATTACTCTTATTATTATCATTATTATTCTTTCAAATAGTAACGCAACCACTATATGCAAACGCGTGAATACACTTAGCTCAAGTCGAGTCGTTCAAGACTCGTAACTTTTGGCACGAATAATCATTTTTTCGTTTATTCTGACATCACTCTGAGCCGCTTTTGAACTTTTGATTTTTTCTTTTGTTCTTTCAGAAACGTTTGATTACTTAATGATTTCATTCCGAGGAGGAGGAGTACAAAGATAGAGTAAAAAATTAAACATAAGTTTTCGATAAGCAACAAATGCAGTCTTCAAAAAACAATAAAAGATATACATGTTAAAAAAAAAATTTCAAGAAATTAAAAAAAATTTAATCACAAAGTATCTTTTTTCATAGATATACTGTTCGCTTATACATATATAATAAGTACAAATAAATTATGTAATGTTACAAGAATTTTCTATGGATTACTTTTGTTCTCGAGACTGTAAAAATAATATAGGATAAAATAGAATGATAAAATAGAAGTTTTACAATCATAAGAATATATAAACAAAACATTTCTATTATAAACATTTGGAATTTATAAAAATCTTGCAAAAAAAAATATCAATATAAAACGTACTACACATTTAGCAGTTTATGAAAGATTAATAAAAGTAATCCGTAGAAAATTCTCAAGTGTAATAGAAATACATAATTTTAATTGCATATATTATATGTATATAAGCAAACTATATATATATAGTTTGCTTATATACATATAATATATGCAATTAAAATTATGTATTTCTATTACACTTGAGAATTTTCTACGGATTACTTTTATTAATCTTTCATAAACTGCTAAATGTGTAGTACGTTTTATATTGATATTTTTTTTTGCAAGATTTTTATAAATTCCAAATGTTTATAATAGAAATGTTTTGTTTATATATTCTTATGATTGTAAAACTTCTATTTTATCATTCTATTTTATCCTATATTATTTTTACAGTCTCGAGAACAAAAGTAATCCATAGAAAATTCTTGTAACATTACATAATTTATTTGTACTTATTATATATGTATAAGCGAACAGTATATCTATGAAAAAAGATACTTTGTGATTAAATTTTTTTTAATTTCTTGAAAATTTTTTTTTTAACATGTATATCTTTTATTGTTTTTTGAAGACTGCATTTGTTGCTTATCGAAAACTTATGTTTAATTTTTTACTCTATCTTTGTACTCCTCCTCCTCGGAATGAAATCATTAAGTAATCAAACGTTTCTGAAAGAACAAAAGAAAAAATCAAAAGTTCAAAAGCGGCTCAGAGTGATGTCAGAATAAACGAAAAAATGATTATTCGTGCCAAAAGTTACGAGTCTTGAACGACTCGACTTGAGCTAAGTGTATTCACGCGTTTGCATATAGTGGTTGCGTTACTATTTGAAAGAATAATAATGATAATAATAAGAGTAATAATACATATGTAAGTGTCGTTATATATTTGTCGTATGTCAAAAGTGACACGCGGCGTAGTTTGTTGGCAGCGATTACTGAATTCAGGCTGTAAGTTAATTAGACCGTAAGTCAGAGAGGGAAATATTAACTTTGTTGGAAGTGTGTCAATATCGTATTCTATATATATATATACATATGTATATATATATATATTGGAAGGAAAACAGTTATACGTCCACATTTTTTACAATAGCAGTAATAGCGTTTTAAAGGAAAGTAACTAATTAACGGTTGACTGAGTGCAACGATAATAAAATTAGGTGCGCCACTCTCTCCGTCTCTTGCAGTCTCAGTAGCTTCGCCTATTATAAATCGACTACCATTGAATGTCGTAGTAGTAGTCTTCTTAACGAAGTTAATTATACTCTTGCGCGTTGTTTAGCATAAAAATAACTAAACTAATTGAATTGTTTTGGCGAAGAAAAAAAGCGGCATGTTCATTTTACAATTTTTCTTTTTTCTAAAAATCTTAACATTCCTTTATTTCAACGAAGATCGGCATAAATAATGTTTTATTTACTATTTTTAAATTTTTAATATATATATATAACTTTGTTTGGTACTCTTCATATTATTTTTTTAAGATGTAGTTTTTCATGAAATTGGAACTTAACTCCTCTTACGCTGCGCCAAAGCTTTCAATTTCAACGTGTACAAGAACAAATTTCTTCCGCATACACTTTCTACATATATACATATATATTATATAATATCCTACATATTTGTTAACTCTATTAAATACACAAATATGCGTGTGCGGCGGTTAGTGTGATAGAGATTCGATAATTTATTTATAGACGCCAATATACGTCGCACTTATATATAGCATAAAGCCAAGAACTCAGATGAAGGAATTGAAGTGCAATTTAAAGTATTGTTAAACTCAGTGTTTTTCCTTCGTCCTTAACTGATTCCACTAACGAGACCTTAATGAAGTAATATTTAATTCATGACGCATTTCTTCCATACGTATAATCAAGTATCAAAATGCAATAATCGAAACATATGTTAACTTCTTTGTTACAATTTCGCACGGAAACATATGTTCGATTTTTGCAATAAATAATAGCATTTTCAATTTTGAGATATATTCAATTGTAATGCAAATCTCTGTCGCGTTGGTTTCTTCTTTCTTATCTATATCTCGACGCTTTATCCAATTTTTATTATATACTGTGTGTCTTCCTAATAACGCATTGCGCAGAGTTCCAATCGTCGCGCCTTTAGAGAGAACAAATGTGCGCGATGATCATTGATAGTAATTATTGACAGTTTCTCGAATACGGAGACAAATATCATAAGCAATAGATCAATTTTTTCTATACAATAATTCCGTTGTCGGTTGTCGGAAGTCACGTTACATTATTCGCATACGACTGTTATCGTTTTCTGTGGCTTTATCGAAGTACCTTGAGACGTAATCGCGACAATTGCGATCCAGTCAAGATATTGTGAATTGTGTCGAGAATAATATACATTATTTATTGTCCGATATTTCGCTTGCAGTTAGTTACGGATGTCAGGTTGCATCGTATAATTTTGCGAGAAATTATTTAGGAATGAAAAAATGCAGTTTCGCTCAAAATTATGATGCTGTCTCCACGCAGTCTTCATAGTCTTGAGCGTTTCCGGTCACAAATATGATATATTAAATGTATTAATATATATACACATCTATACATACATATACTTATATAAAAAAGTTATTGTTATATTTTTTATCCTATCCGAAATATATCTGGTTTATAATTTTGATCAAAGTCAACCGACAGCGTAATTCTTAATTAACTAAATCTTTTTGTATTTATGTTACCGTCAGCAAGATTAATTTGCGAAAGAATAGATATTCTTGAAATTACGATTAAAACTAAAATATTGACATTGCTGAATATTATCTAAAATCATTTAAAGGAAGGCAGTGTGAATAAGCAGTCAGTTAGCGTTATTCTCATTGTTTTTTATGTTTGCAGAAATATAATCGAGTTAAATTAGAACTTAATTGTTTTCAGTTTATTAAACTGATTAATATATATTACTATTTAAATAGTTTCACGTAATATTACGTTATTTATCACATTATCATATTGGAAAATTTTCTTGCGTAACACTTTTTAATTAAATTATTGTTTTCCGTTTCAAAGCAAAATTGATTCAATTTTGACATACAGGCGAATTATTCTGTTTATTCAGAATGCAAGCAGAAATCTAATATCGTCAAGGTTTGCGAGCGACAAACTTGACCGTCCTGTGTACATCACCTATCCTGTCCGACATTCTTTTGCCACCGCGTATGTAATCTTCGTATCGCATCTCGGCGAGAGTCTCAAAGTTCAGCGTTTCCATGATTCGTTGGCTGTATATCGAGGCAGCGACGGCGAACACCATTTCCGGTCGCACGTATTCGTTGACGATTTTATCGGCTACGCAGATCTGCTTCAGCTTCCTGGCGCGTAATCCGCGCGCGACTTCGAGGCTCTTGTCCGTGATTTGTCGGCCGATCCCGCGAGCCTGACACTCTGGATCTGTGCCTATATAGAAAATTTCCATGGCACCGCGCGCGTTGTACTTTTGAAAGATGTCTACTCGCGATTCCACCTGATAACACGATTCTTGATAAACGATAAGCTTGTTGAAATTGACTATAAGTATTTTTAGATTAAGCGCGATTAAAAGCATATTGCATTATTTGATTTAATAAAAGAAAAAGGCGCGAGTTTTGCCAATAATTCGTAGATAACGAATATAGATGCATATACATTTTTTTTTAATTATATATTTTACAAAAATTTTTATATTTAATGGAGAAATATTTAAAGTCATTTCTTTATATTTATTACTATTTTAAGACTGAAAGATGAATACTTTAGACTTTTTAAACTTTAAAGCGTCAAACAAACAGAATTAATCATGTGATAAGATAAAGTCACTTTGCATAAGAATTATTTTGTTTTACTTGAGACAAATGTAAAGTGCCTTTAATTACAATGATGTATACAGGCAGCTTGTAAAGATTAATTACTATCACGCAAAAAGTTGCAATATCTGCGAAGTTCTTATCATTATTTACGAAAGAATTTTAAGATATCAAGGAAAGAGCTTGTATTGACATTGTTGATTGCAGCGTGTACAAAATAATTTAAGTAATCAACTCACGTCGTCGAGGAACTCAATCAGATCCCGGCACGAGCGATGTTTGATATTATTTTCTATAAAAAGAGCGAAGGAATCCGTTTCTCCTGGCTTAGGAGGCACCTGAAAATATAATTACATTTCGTGCAAGCTATAATAATTCTCCTCAACTTTATCTGTACTTTACGTACGCAGCATAATTCGATATGTCAACAAAAATATGTAATACTAGACAATAAAAAAACAATAACTCTTGATCTTAAAAATTTTCGCTATATTTTATGATCTCGCCATTATTTTTAATAATTAAAGAGAGAGCATCAAAGCACAAATCGCGTTAAGGAGGCACACCCGTTTGAAATTTCGAAAAATGAATACATTTTCTAGATTTTTTTGCAGAGCAATGACTTGATAAAAATTTTTAATTTTTTTACAAAATTCATACAATATTGTTAACTACTTAAATAAAAATTTTCAGTTTAAAAAAAAAATTTTTTTTAAAGTTATAGGAATATTTGCAGAGCTCCTCTAAATTTTAGGTGGTTTGCACGGTGTGCATGAAAATGTTCGTAGATCATATCCGAAATAAAAAATACAAGCTTTTTTTTCATTAAACATATTAATAGCTATCTGCTATCCAAGCGTTTTTTCAAAATTTTAAAAAATAAAAAAATGGCATGTTGAAAAAAAGTGTTTCTTTTTTAAGTATCTTTTTTGTTTATAAAAAAAAAAAAAATGGGGAATCGGATTAAAAAAAGGCTTTGTTAGCAGATGCGGAATCTTATTAGGAACTCGCATGCAAAATTTGAAGTCAATCCGTCGAATGTAGCTCGAGTGCATGAAAACATAAATTTACAAATATTCGCATAACTTTAAAACAAAAATTGTTTTTAAGCTAAAAATTTTTATTTGGGTACTTAATAATATCGTATTAATATTGTAAAAAAAAAATTTTTTATCAAATCGTTGCGCTGCAAAAAAATCTAGATAATATATTCATTTTTCGAAAGTTCAAACGGATATACCTCTTAATCAATACATTGAAGATGACAGCATCGGAATATGCGCGACTCTAATCGAAACTGATCTAACGTCAATGTAAATCTATACTTGTGTGTAACTTGCGTGTAACTTTGATGTAAAGCTATACTTGCGTGTAACTTGTTGAATGCCACGGCGACAACGCGGTCCGATCGATCGACCGCGATCACCGTGCATCCATCCTTGATGACCTCTCTAAAGACCAGTTGCATCTCTTCAGGTGCACCGGGATCCTCATACATTCCCATGCCGATCGCGATGCACTCTTGGCGCATTGATTGCCGTTGCACGACCATGGCGTCCTCGATCCGGTCCTTGCTGAGGATCCTGAATTCGATGGCGCCGGTGCGATCGGTGCCAAGACAGACGGGCATAGCTGATCTGAGCTTCGTCTGGAAGAAACGCTACGGCATCACTATAGCTGATCGATACGTACGCACGGGTTTACACTTGTCTTGCGCATCCCGTTCCGGTTTTTCTCACAAGATTTCGTACCGTGTCAGATCCGATAATAACATGAACTTTATCGAGTGTAAATTTTTGTACCATAAGCGTTTATAGTCAATTGACAGAATATCACGATCACTATGTAAAAAATATTTTCAAAAATATTTAAAAACTTTTCGCATACTTTTTTTTATAAAATACCACTAATTTGATTCACGATACGAAATTTATAACTATTGGAATACACACAGATAATTTTATATTACATAAATTATAAATATATTAATATACGTTTATAATCTTTATAAAAAATATTTTTTTTTGGATTATGGTTAATCGACAAAGAGGAGCGAGCCTTCACTTTGAAGCACTACACGAGATATGTCTAGACTCTATCCATATCTTCTCGTCTTACCTCGTTAATTCGCGAGCGGTGTCTTCTGCCAGCAGAGTGCAGGCATGCTCTTTGTGTGTAGAATAATCGGGATAAAAATTGTGTCGCAAGCTCCCCATTACCGTATGTTCCGCTTGATTACAGATACTATATCGTAGCAATATTTGATAACCGGTCACGTGCGTGACTATCGAGTAACTGTAAAACATTACGGTGAGATTTTCTTGTTATCGTTGTCATTTTAATTACTTTATTGTAGTGGAGAAGTTTTGCATCTTTTTTCACGAGTTTAAGATCGGAAGCGAGATTCTGATTTATTAATTTTTTACATGGTTTACAATTTTTATTTTACTTAATGATTAACATACAATTTAATTATATATAATATCTTATCGAAGATATTAATTTATTTCTTGATAAAGTAATATTTGATATAATATTGATATTAATATATTAATTGCACAGAAAAAAAAATTATAAATTATATAATTGATCTGTTTAATGTGTTTAGTAGTTATTCAGTTAAAGGAGAGATATGAGAAAAAAAAGTGGCAGAATTATCGAAAAAAATAGAAAATAATTTATATTCAATGAGTTTTCCAATATTTGAATAATATTAAAATCATTTCATCACACTTGTAACATTATATAACTTTATAAAACCGATGCTGCATTGATTTCGGTAAATAATGATAAAAGTAGTCTTTATATAACACATTATGTAATTTTGTAAAATGTGCAACTAATTCTACGATTATTGCCATCGCATGCATGAGATCTTGTAGTCTGACATATTTTTCCTCCTCACATTTGACTATATCTCTAGTGCATGTGTGTGTGATGTCATAGAATATCTTTTTTGAACATTATCTTACTTCTATTCCGGTATATTATCGTTATTACTAGCGACCTATTCAAGTAACATCAATGCGCAATCAATTTATCCATCCGCTGCGATATATTTTCATGCACTTGCATGCAAATGTAACATTTTGTAGCAGAGTATTATTAAACGAGTTGCACATGTTATAAAATGCAACATATTTTTCGATCGCTTGAAATAGTTTTTCTAGTTAATATACGATTATTCTTATTATATATTACAGAAAATCTTATTTCTCTCTCGAGAAAATTTCGTTTCAATCGCATATATAAGTTGCTCGCGAAATCGGACATAAAATATGAATATTTTTTAAAATAACAAGAGAGACTACCAGATAAATTACTTTGCATTAGAATTTCCCATGAAAATTCCTTCAAATCTAATAATAATGAATCTAATAATAATAAATCTAATCATATTGCATTTTAATTCTTTATCTGAAAGTTCTTGATTTAAAAAAGATATTATTTTTTCGCGCGCGAAAAATATTAAGGTTGATAAGAAAAATAAATGCGGAATGATATTGCAACTTTGTATGTTAATATATTGAACAGATGACAAACATATGTTTAGGTGTTTAATTAACTTTTCAGCATTTAGAGAAGGGTTATCTCTCGCTCGCGCTCCGACATCGTTCTTTTAGTATCTTGCTGTAAGATATCTCTTGGACGAAAATATTCGGGAGATGAATCATCCATTGACCCTCTCATGCATTCTGAAGATGCAGATAAATGATGTGTATGCTTCTCTAAGTTTTCTATCGTATATATAACGCACATTTTGAGGTCTTGTATAAAATTTGATTTTATTGTACACTTATGATATTATATAACATAAGCATTATAAATGCATATTATTGTATCATATTTTTATATACTATATTATGTATAATTTTTTTAATGTGTGAGCTGAAAATTCGAGATAATGAGAGATAGTCGGAAAGTCAATGCAAAGACGTAACAAAATCACGATTTTTGTCTACGGAAATGCTAAAATTGCGCGATTATCGACTACGCGAGTGTCTTGGCCACTAAGACGCACTTTTGGTGTTCCTGGTCTATTTTCTCGCTGAACTTCTTACCGTCGAATTCGAATTTGTCGTAGGAAATTTCCATCAACTGATCGAAATGGAGTTTCGCGGCGATTCGTTGCGAGTACTTGGACGTCATAATCGCGGAAGCCAAGGTTGGCTTCTTGTCGGCGTTTGTCAGCTCGTCGTTACCGTGTATCGTGACAGGTGTCCTCACATTTTTACCGCGTCTCAGTTCCTTGCCGAGCTCTAATGATGAGACGATTAGCAGCTCACCTATTCTTCGTTTCCCGTAAGCGGGATGAGTCGCCAGGGTCATGAGCTCGAGGATGCAACTGACATTGTAATGCTTGAAGAGATTTATCTTCGAGTCTACGTTTATCATAAAGTCCACCAAAGCCTTGGATGATTTATATCGGCAGTTGTCGCTGAAACTCTCAAAGTAGCTTTTCTCCGAACTGCTGTCGAATGCCTGGGAGATCGGAAAATGTATTAATCTAGAAACACTTATTAAATAATTTTGTATTGCAAAGTTTTTATACTATCAAAATTATATCACTATTAAAGTGAATTATTTTAACAAAATGTATTTAGAGAAACTTAAATTTTTAAATTAATTTTTTAAATAAAAAGAGCTTGAAAAAATAAAATAGATATGTTCGCTCACTTGAATTTTGTTGAAGCAGACGCCAACAACCTCGTTACTGGTGATATCGATAGCCACTACACTGACGCCATCCTTAGCTGCATTCAAACAAAGTTCTTCAATTTCCTCGCATGCTCCTGGTTCAGAATTCAAGTCCACGGCTTTAGACACGGACTCGTAGACGAAGAAGCTCTTCCTTATCACGTTGAGGGCACCTTCCAAGGTCTCGTCTGTTAAAGATTCAAATTCTATCCGACCATCCTCCGTCGAGCCCCAAGGCCGATAGGAGGGCATCCTTTTGCGTGTTTTGCTGGAAAACAAACATGATCTCAATTGTACGTAATGATCGTTTCGAGAAACGAAATTCACCAAAATTAAATATAATTAATATGATGAAATATATCGTTATATTAAATTTAAATTAAAAAAATTTATATTTATTTTCTTAACGCTGCTAATTGCACATTGTATTTTTAGAAACTGAAAACTTTCTGATTACAGAATACCATTGCTTATTTGCTACCCAAATTGCCAATCGCACTTAGACGCTTTAAAAAGTTTCGAGGACATATATACACTTAATTACTCACACGTATACATACAACTAATTGCTAAAAAAATATTGTGCAAATGAAAAATATAATTTTTCAAAAATATTGTCTATAATTTTGAATGGCAAGACAAAATGACGTGTTCCTGTTGCAATTCAACGGACAATTGCATACTTATTATATTGCAATCACTGCTCGTAAATGAATGTAATAGTAATAATTGGTCTTAATAGTGATTGCATAAGCATGCGTAGTTTTACGAAAAATGTAAAAAATTCAAATATATTTTAATAACATTTGTATATATTATTAAATTTAATTTTTACATATTAAATATTGTTTTATATAAATATATAAAAAATATAATCACACGATAAAGTATTGAAAAATAATTGTGATTAGAAAATATTTAGAATTTTTTTCTATAATTGTTTTTATTGGTGCCATTCGATATATATTAAAGATATGATACACTAGACAGATAATACTAAACAGATGATACGCTAAATGTCAATTTAAAATTCTTAAAAATATTTGGGATAATACCTCATGTTTGTGAAGAGATCTTAACACGATGACTGTCCGTTATATACTGAGCAGTTATCGACGATAAACATACTCGTACAGCTTATTGCAATGCTGTACTTATCTTGGGACCCTGGACTACTTTATTAAATCCAGTTAGAGTACATGAATTTAGATAGATATTCAAAAATAAGCATACATAATAAATTATTATAATGAAATTTATTATTTAATAATAATATAAAATATAATCAATATAAAACAGTGCACAAATATACAAATAGTTATTCAGATTGTGTATTTTATGTATAAAAGTGAACATTTATACATAACACATCTACAACTATTGTTTTGTGTGTAATTTTGTAAAGTTATTAATTATGGCATTTTGACAAAATAAAAAAAAAATGATTTTTTATTCTTTCTTAATACATGTTTGTATATATGATTTTTTATTTTTTCTTGTTTTATTTTTTTTTTTATACATGTCTATATATACATATATACACATACATTCAATATATATTTTATTTAAAAGCTATAAAAGTTATGATTTTTTATAATAATGCTATTGGAGAACTGCTTGTAGATTTGTATATATGATTTTTTATTTTTTCTTGTTTTATTTTTTTTTATACATGTCTATATATACATATATACACATACATTCAAGATATATTTTATTTAAAAGCTATAAAAGTTATGATTTTTTATAATAATGCTATTGGAGAACCTCCAATGTGCTTGTAGATAAGTACAGCCCTGATAATTGATACAGTATTTTACACATACATTGATAGCGCCCAAACACATTCTATGCAATGTGTCGTACAATAACATTCAGTCTTGGTAAGGTCACACTGTATTACGTTTTTTCTTACTGCACGCGTGTTTATGCATTGTTTTTTCTAGCAGCTACTTAATTATCATTACGCGAACATTGACTCTGATTTAATGAATATACATAATCATTCATTGTGATTGCAATATAAACGCGTTACATCCGTTTGTTTTCGACTGGTTTGTAGAATGTATTTGTTTGTTTTTTTTTCAATGACATGGACTGCTCTTGAAAAGTGATTAGACACACAAGCGAAGTATCGTCCTTAAACTTAATTGGAATATTACATATTTCGTAACAGCACGATCGACGGACAAAGTGCAATTAAGAATGCGCGGAAAGAAAAAATGTATATTCATCCGTATATATAATTACGTTACGTTAATAATAAAATCATACAGATTGTGCTAAAAACGTTTGATTAAATTTTATTATCGTATTCTACATATCGCATATCGATAAAAAAAATATCACAAATATACGTTCGCGAATATAATTTTTCATGTTGACATTTAAAAATGTTAAAAATGATATTTTAGCGGAAAACATATGAATATTATTTATAATTGATTGAATACGAAAGCGGATATTCATTTTAGTTTGTCTTGTTAGCAATAAACTTTTAATAAAATCTTACTTTTATTTCTATCTCTATTAATTTTTTAATCTTGACAATTTTCGTTAAAAATTTTTGTTATAATATATTTATATATATTTATACTTGAAAAGACTATTACTTGGAAAGAAGACATTTACGGATCTATATTCGCATGACATTTTTTTATCAATACAGTTTAATAGAATATACTGATAAAGAGTTTAGCCAGATATTTTAGGAACACTCTGCAAAAAATATTTATTCGTAAAAAATAATATGGCATTATATGTTTTATATTATATACGTTTCTTTAACATTCCTTTTACTATTTAAAAAAATTTTTTAGATTTTGATTATAGATGAACGCGAAATAATGGCTGTTGATACAGAGTATTAACTGCGCAATGGGAAGATGAAATAAAACGTCATACAGGTAGAGTCATCTCATTCGTATCATATATGCGTCAATAATCGCACAAGGTCGCGAGGGGAGCGAAAATATGATGGATATATTTAGAATCGCACGTCGTGAAACGAATCTCGACGAGTTGTCTCGGTCATCATTCGACAGTCGCGATTCACCGTTTTTAAGAAAATCAATCTTTCACAGCGATCATCGTGTGATCACGTTATTACACGTAACTCTCATTGTCCTTATATAAATCTGATCATTAACTTGCGAATGACAGAATCTTTTTCAGCGATTGAAGACTTGATACAAAGATGGTTCTATAAAGGAGTGCGAAAAGTGATCTCGATAAATTGAATATTATTAAGAAATAAAAATTGCAAAAAACAATTTTTTACGTCTCATCAATGATTCTCACGTAAACCATATATAGTGTAAAATTTTATTAAAAACTTATAAAATATTTTTAAAAAAACATTTTTGAAATGTTGAATGTGTTGTGTTGGAATCATATCTACGATTTTGAAAATATCACACCTATAGTTTTTTTCAAGTTGAGTCTTTAGTTGTCTAAATCGTTCGAATTTCTTCGAATAAGTTGTGCGAAATGACCATTTCAGTTCTCGTCTTGCATTAGTGTTTATTGAGATTTCCCAAAACATTTTTTGCCTATTTCCGTTGATAAACAAAAGCGGAAAATTATAAAGCTTTCTTTACACTTTGCACAGTGCAGTAACACGAGTATCTTCCCTCTCCGTCTCTCGTCATTGCTTGACAATTTAAAATAAAAGATCTCCGTCGCGGATGAGGAATTGATTTTATCCAAGAAATCACATGGGGAACAGGATTACGAAATCAGTGTCCGGTTGATGTTCTCGGGTTTCGGGTCGATGCAGAAAATACGCTCGCGTTACGAAATGATAATGTTGCGCGACCGATACGTCGATAAATTTCGGATATCGTATCGATACCCGAGCTAGAGACGAGACAAGAATCGATGCGACTTGACAGCAAAAAAAAAAACTTTCCACACACACATCCTACACATTCCTTTTTATATATCAATTCCTGAAAATGATTACTATTTTTTTCAATAAAATGTTATATCTATAAATATAAAATATTCCATTTTATCTAAAAATCTTGAATGGATCATTTTCGATACGAAGTGTTAATAAATGACAGTATAATGTCGTTAAATTATTTCTTATTAAAACATATCAAACTTAATATATACTCTCAATAATTTTTTAACAGAATCTTTATAAAGAGAAATATTAATTTTTTTCTTAATTATTAAAGTCTGCTTACATATTTAAATTTGTTTTTACTATATCAAGTTAATTTTGTCACCACTACACGGAAATACTTGAATACGATATTATAAAATGCGTATAATATGAATTTTATATAAAACTAAAATATCGTAAAAATATTACGCAATAAACATTAGTATTTTATTAATTAATTATTATTACGAATATTTTTTTATGATGAACAAAGAATGCAAATTACTTACGAGATGATAGGTGAAAAGAGTCGAAAACGCGAGAATCGTTTCGCTGGTTTGGCACGAACTGTCACACTTCGTTAATAATAATCGATCGCTTTTCGTGAGCTTTCTCGGAGAGAATAGCTCTCTTGTAACTATGCTGCAATAATATCTTTGCGTATCTGCGTCGTTTATTTATTAATTATTATCGGGGAATTCCCTATCTTGTTTAAATATTTGCGGGATTTTCAATTTTGTACTGTGCAATTGGAGTGAGAGGAAAAATCTCTCGAAGCTCGTCGATTCGCATTCTACCACGATACAGAATGTTCCTATGAACAGCATCTTTTCATTAGTCGATACAGTTGGTACATACATACAAATATCTATCTAGGTTGTATTCGAAGATCTTCGTCCATAGAGAATGCAAATTCCAATGTTCCTAGAAAACGCATTTTCCCATTGGATATCGGACGCAGGGTGAATTCTTCCGCGAGTATCGCTCGGTCAATCGCGTTCCGCGGAGCCTGGGGGATTGCAAACGCTCCCTTCGACGGCACTGCGCGTGCGCGGCTCGCGCGCGACAGGCAAAAAATAAGATGGCCGCCCAACGAAACAAATAGAGCGCCGTCGTAAATAACACAAACCGTCCGAACACGTTTCGAGCGTGCCCCCCGTACGAATCGCACGTGCGTACCCGCGACATTGACGATCCCCTCGCGACCGTTCGCGGACGACGTGCGTTTTCCCCCAGACGCGACGAAGTACGACGTCCCGCGTGTTCGCTCGCGGTAGCGTGATCCGCGGGAGAACGTTGCTCCTATTCCTCATTGTTGCATTTATCCGACCACGCGTATCGCGCCTCGCGGTGGTCCGTGTCGTACCCGGGGAGGTGCGTGCGTGGTCCTAGCGGCGGGTCCATCTCCATCGGGGGGAGGAGATAGCGCCGACAAGAGAGAGAGAGAAAGGTTGTATTCGAAGATCTTCGTCCATAGAGAATGCAAATTCCAATGTTCCTAGAAAACGCATTTTCCCATTGGATATCGGACGCAGGGTGAATTCTTCCGCGAGTATCGCTCGGTCAATCGCGTTCCGCGGAGCCTGGGGGATTGCAAACGCTCCCTTCGACGGCACTGCGCGTGCGCGGCTCGCGCGCGACAGGCAAAAAATAAGATGGCCGCCCAACGAAACAAATAGAGCGCCGTCGTAAATAACACAAACCGTCCGAACACGTTTCGAGCGTGCCCCCCGTACGAATCGCACGTGCGTACCCGCGACATTGACGATCCCCTCGCGACCGTTCGCGGACGACGTGCGTTTTCCCCCAGACGCGACGAAGTACGACGTCCCGCGTGTTCGCTCGCGGTAGCGTGATCCGCGGGAGAACGTTGCTCCTATTCCTCATTGTTGCATTTATCCGACCACGCGTATCGCGCCTCGCGGTGGTCCGTGTCGTACCCGGGGAGGTGCGTGCGTGGTCCTAGCGGCGGGTCCATCTCCATCGGGGGGAGGAGATAGCGCGGACAAGAGAGAGAGAGAAAGAGAGAGAGAGAGAGAGAGAGTGAGTGGTGTTGTCGCCGGGTTGACGCCGCGTTCGTCGCCAAGATGCGATCGTGCGACTCGCACGAGACGAGCCCACCCCCTCTACGTAGACAACACTCGCGGTCCCACGCCTAGCTCCTCATGCTAGTCTCGTCTTCCGAATTGCTTGGGGCACAGCATGAAGGAGATGCTCGGAGGGTGCTGCGTGTGTTCTGACGAGAGGGGTTGGACAGAGAATCCGTTGGTGTATTGCGATGGACAGGGCTGCACCGTTGCCGTACATCAAGGTACTTGTACTTTGAGGAAGCTGGAGTCTTCCCCTTTGTCGATTGTTTGTAATGAAAACTTTATTGTTTTCCAGCGTGTTACGGTATTGTCACTGTACCAACAGGACCCTGGTATTGCAGGAAATGCGAGTCCCAAGAACGCAGTGCTCGGGTGGTATGCATTTTTTTTATGACAGATTATTAGATATTCCTTTATTTATTATGATAGAATATAAATATCTTTATCGAGATGTATTATTTGAGATGTGATTTCTATAGCGCTGTGAGTTATGTCCGAGTCGTGATGGAGCCCTTAAGAGAACGGATCAGGCTGGATGGGCGCATGTTGTGTGCGCTCTTTATATCCCAGAAGTTCGATTCGGTAACGTGACTACAATGGAACCAATTATATTGCATCTTATTCCTTCAGAAAGATTTAGTAAGGTAAATGTTTAATTTTGATATTATAGATTTGGCAGAAAAAGAAATCATTCCATTAATATCGTACTATATATATATAAAAATTGAATGATTTCAGACATGTTACATTTGTGAGGAACAAGGTAGAGGTAGCAGAGCAAACGTGGGAGCCTGCATGCAGTGTAACAAAACAGGCTGCAGGCAACAATTTCATGTCACCTGTGCACAGGCTCTGGGCTTACTTTGTGAGGAAGCTGGCAATTATCTTGATAATGTCAAATATTGTGGATATTGCCAGCATCATTATTCAAAATTGGTCAGTAATTTATACACTTGAGTATTACGCTTCTCTTGAGAGCTTGTTAACTAATATGAATGATTAATTTTTAGAAAAAGGGCGGCAACGTAAAGACGATACCGCCGTACAAGCCGATACCCGCCGACAACGGTTCGTCGGACTCGTCGCCGGAGAAGGAGGCGGAGACGCCGATTAAATCGTCAAGCGGCAAGCGGAAGAGCTTGAGTTCCAAATCCACCGCGAATTCTAAAAGTAAATCAAATGCTAGTCCCAGTTTAGAGATAAATGGCATCACGGACGACAAGAGCAGTGGTAGCGGTCGTAATACGCCTAAAGATAATTCCACGAGTTCCAGCAAGTTTACGACATCTAACTTTGTCGAGACCATTGTCACGCAGTCGGAGAGCGTGTTTGGACACGACGGTACTGTCACCGTTACCACCGTCGCCACGGCGGCAATCGCTTCCGCGATGAAAACGAGTGGTGGCAATTCGAATGCGGTGCACAAGAACATCGGCGGTCAAGGAAAATCCAACTCGTCGACCTCCAATAAGACATCGAGCCACACTAGCAAGAAGAGGAAGACCGGAGCTCGTACGCCGACTGTGATAGGAAACGAGAACTCGAATCAATCGGCCAGCTCGGAGACTAGCGGATCAGTCGTGGTAGCCGTTAGTACTGTTGTGCAACAGACTGTCCCAAGTAACAATGTGCAACCAACAATCACCGAAGCCACGAGTTTAAGTACAACGACGGAACCGGAAAAATCGAAGAAGGTAAAAGTCTTTCATTATTTTAAATTGCTTAAATCTTTAAACTTGAAAGGATTGGAATTATTTAATTTATTTAATTTATTTTAATCCTTGTATTAGAGGGAAAGTCTCATAATAATAAATTATATTTTAAAACTTGCCGATAATTCTGATTCGATAGAGTTTTGATATTGAACTAACAATCGGAACACATGATATAAATAAAAGACACCAAATATAATACACTGTACTATATATCTTGCTGATTTCATTATTCATCTTATATAGAGATACCCGTGTGTTAATTATGATTCTCAAAAACATTAATAACTGATATTAATTTGAGTAACGTGCCACAATATTCACGACAATATTAAATTTGCATTTACCAAAGTCCATTCTTAACTACAGCTTGTGGATAATTATGTAGGATAATTGTTACACGTTTACAACAATAAGCTTAAAGAGATAGTCTGACTAATAAAAAAAATGGATGTTTTTCAATTTTTTTAAACTATCATATCTCCAAAATATTACGTTAAAATTTTAGAGTTTAATGATGTTATGAAATTAAAAGTAAAAGAGTAATGAATGAATAACAGAGGATTTAAAACTCTCTCTGTCTACGAAATCAGATTTAGATATGTGAATAGTTATAAAAATAGGTAAATATTGCTATTGTTTTTTATATAGTACAGATCTTTGTTGAATGTTTTCAGTGCTGTCGCGCGAATTTTTTTACATTGTTCTGATCACAAGTGTTAGTTTTGCCGAGTTTTTAGTTAGTCATATCTGTATAAAGTAATCATAATATTGAAAAGATGGAAAAATCCGATTGGAAAATCCAATAAATTCTGCATAGAATGTAAATGCAAACCTAGGTAAAATACGTTTATATTCGGCATGCGATATTTGGAAGAAGATTTATTCCAATGAAAAGATCGAGGCATTCTAACAAGAACAAAGTGATGAATATGATTATATTGCGTTAACTATTTTTAGTATACTTATAACTATTTAGATCAAACTTCAATTAATTTAATCGGTGAAAAATTTATCAGTAATATTTGCAGTATTCTGTTAATAATAAGAATTAATAATTTTCTTTTGTTATTTGACCTAGCGAAAGAAAGATTAAATTAGAGACAATGAATTATATTAGAGTGAAATTTTTTTGCTGTAGGCAATTTAATTAATCGTCAATTAAGTCAATGGGAGAATTTTCATCGAATCGCCTCTTGAATTTTAGTTATTTATAAGAAACTTGTACTAATCAAAATATATGGAATGTAGCTATAGCATTTTATTCATCGCCTTCGATTGCAGACGAAAGTGGAGAGTCCGATTCAATCGTCGTCGAATACACCGGTCGCTACAGAGGCAACCACCACACCTGTGATAATGACGGTGACGCAGTCCCAGCCCTCCTCGATCGTCACTCAGTCGCCGACGACTACGTCGAACAGCATCGTCGTTTCCGTGCCGTTGACCGCCACCTCGCTCGCCAACACGGTCCAGAGCGTGGTGACGAGTGCGCCGACGATATATCAACAGCTGCAACAGAGTATAATCACCACGGCCGCCAATGCGGAGCTGCGATCCAGCGCGATGGTGACCACCGAGAGGTTCACCGCCGAGGAAGCTCCGACGAAACGATCTCGGTAAGTTTTCGCTATCGAAGCACGATTTAAAAGATTAAGACAAAAATTTGTCATCAAAAACTGACTTAAAGTTATGAGGTGCGTTATAAATATAACTGGAATCGATATACGATTTTATATATAATTACAAACGTAAATACCCGTGATATTTTTAAAGCTTTATTGTGTGAAATTCAACTACAAGTGGAAAATTTTCAGGGAAAAGATTAATATCTATATATAATTAATTCACGTTTAATTAAATTAGAATATAAATGAGAAAAGTAGAAAAGATATATCCTTATTATTGCTCTGTTATAATTATTGTCATAATTATAATTATAAATATTATAATTATTGTTCCATTAGTGAGACATTGAATTTATTTTCCATGAAATTTATATAATATAGTGATGAATGCAACAAAAATATGTCGCACACACACAGAGTGCCGTGAAGTGCATCGAGTTACAAGTGCGAGTGCAAGTGCACCCGAAGAAGTAGGCGCATGCAACTTCAATCGAGTATCGTGGATCGTTTTCAAAATGGCGGGTGCGACTGGTAAACAAGGTGGCTGGTTCTAACCTCTTCTCAAACGCCAGATCGAGCGTTCGATTTTTCCGAAAACCCCGTCCGGCCGAGTGGAAACGCGCGTCGGGTAAAGAGCGCGTCTTGACACTTGGTGTGCCGCAACGTTCGAACGTTGGATCGTTGATCGAGAGTGCTATATGAAGGATGGAGTGTGTTTATAACAGTAGTCTACCTATGTATTGAGCACAATAGTTCACTCGAGGTCATTCGGCGCGCGCTGCATAATAATTGCATCGCGCGAATAGTTGCGTTACAATAATCGCACCTCGCGTCGTAACTTTGTCGCGACGGAGGGGAGGAGAGACGTCGCGGGCACTGTTGAACGCACTCGTGAATCTGTTAACGTGGAATCTCGAATTGTGGCGAATAAGAGAGATCAAGGTTATGTTTGTTTTCGCTTCGGCGAGGTGCCTCAAAGGCAACGAACGACGAAAAGGTGTAACGTGACACTGTAAATACCACTTCGCCGCGGTATTCCACCTCAGTGTGCGTTGATCTTACTCTTTTTATCATTGTATCATTGGATACGATTACTTATCTAGGAATTTTATCATATAATTTCTAATCGTACGTTTAAAAATTCGCGCGCTATTAATATTAATTATTAATTTTAATTATATGTGTGTGTATAAAGTAATTAATAGCTTCTATTGTAATGGAAAACATGTCAATTTCGTGCATTTTTTATAGCAATCATAGTAATTGTTTGAAACACGTTACTTTTCAGTTCCCAATCATCAGATAAGCAAGAGAAGTCTCGTAAACCAAAGCGTGGCTCGTCCAATAGCCAAGGATCACTGCCGCAATTCCAGACGGTCTCGTCAGTCGTAACTTCTGTATCCAGCACCGCAGTTGTGGCGACGTCTAAGAGGGGCGCGAGAAATAATCATCAAACCCCTCCACCCGCCGTCACAGTGGCTCCGGTGACCTCGGTGCCATCAATAATTCAAGGCCCCACAGGCACTCTTGGACACTTCAGCAGTGTAAGTGGCACAGGCCCTGCAAACATTATGGGACCGACAGTCAAGGAGTCACCGCCTAGCAGTCCCGGATCAGAGAGTATGAGTAGTAGCACTAGTAAACGGAAGAGGAAAGCTGCTGCGTCTACACCTATTCCATCTGCATCGACTACACCGACCGCTCTTACCGCAATAAAGGAAGAGAATAATATAAAATTGTAAGATTTGCAACCAGATCCACAAAGAACCTATCAATCGAACATATAATTGTAACCTTTTATCTTTCTTTGTTTTTTTTTAGATTTCAAAATGGAGTCAGTGCACCACATATGCTAGGGAATCAGTTGAATCCTACTTCAACGATGGCGCAAAAGATGTCGGATACACTTTCGCAGGAACTCGAGGCCCATTCTATTTTTACAGAAGCGAGTAACTCCAGTACAAACTTGGTTGGACCACAGTTACACAGTCGAGTAATTGCATCTGTACGTGATCGAAAATTATTATCAAATTCAAGGCAATGTGTAAATCTTTTTATTACATGCTATATATTCGATGTTTTTTTATGAACAGATACGATCTAGCCAACCGGGTGGACCGCCCACTTCGTTTACCTCGAACCTTTTCTCCACAAACAGCAATAGTACGAATCCTACACCTGGTCCTAGTGGGACTTTGGGTGGTGGAACAATTCCGCAGACACTGGATCAGCTTCTAGAAAGACAATGGGAGCAGGGAAGTCAATTTCTAATGGAGCAAGCCCAACATTTTGATAGTGAGTATATAACGAGGAAAAATTCGCTTATAATTGCATGAGTTTAGTGAGGAGCAGAGTTTGCGCTTTTACTTTGTATAAAAAGTTATTTTTTACAGAAAAACCTGCATGACATGCTTTTCATTATATTTTTGTCTTGTAACAAAATCGTCTTTTTCTATATAATTATTTTTTTTTAATTTGATATGTTTGACATGCGTGCTTTGGTCTTTTAACGTAAAATGTGCGTCCTACACTTAAGTAGAATAAACCAGCAACATTATGGAAATCTGTTGCAGTTGCATCCCTGCTTTCCTGCCTTCATCAATTGAGAGCTGAGAATCTTAGGCTAGAGGAACATGTAAATAATCTCCTGCAGAGGAGAGACCATTTATTGGCTGTGAATGCTAGACTCGCTATTCCGTTGACAACTCAGCCTAGTTCACATCCAGGTTAGTTAGATTAGCCATTTTATGATATTTTTTATATTTTATTTATATGAATCGCAGTACATTTACCATATATCTCAATTATTTTCAGTGAATAATATACATCCTACAGTGAATCCATCTCATCCTAATGTCTCGCACTCGGAAGTGCCGCCTGGCGCTCCGGCTCCGGTACCTAGATCGAATCGCGAACCGCGAGTGAACAACACGTACATGCCTCACTCCAGTTCCAGCAATCATCCGACGACATTGGAAAACGGTTTGCCGCCAGATCCCTCCCCACCCGCGGCGGCTTCTCTCTCTCAGTATCAGCATCGTGGATCATTAGTTGCGCCGCAACCAAGCCCGACAATTAGGTAACGCGTTGGTTCTCTTCACGGAATATTGTTGATATAATTGAGATTCAAGTTTACTTCTAAATGAAATAGGCATAGTCCAGCCGGGGGTGGATACCTTCAAGGTTCGAGCAATATAGTATCGCCGGCGCCGGCGAATACTTCCGGCGTGGTGCGTAATTCGTCTGTCACACCGGATCCTCTACGTGGAGTGCCGAGGTGAAAAACAGTATCTTCATTTTGGTCATTTTTGATTGTCCAGACATATTTTTCATATATAATGTTTATTATTAATCACTAGGTCGGCTTCCCAATCGTCGAGCAATTACATGCCGTCGATGTATCAACCCACCATGTCCAGTCTCACCGGCAATCAAGTAGGCGGTGTTCACAATCTCCATCCGCACGGACCTTCGCCGACTAGCCACGGGCCACCGGGTAAACCCAGCTGAAGGTAGATACCAATACAATGTGGCAGCCGCATATCTTAATTATTAAAATGATATTTTCGTTGCCGCGTATGCCATTGTCGAACATCAAAGAAGCCAATCTCATTGCAAGAGAGACCTAACTGCGCTTCTTCGCGAAATATTGACTGATATACATTTTGTATGCCACGTTTATCGGTAATCGTTTTTTTAATAACTTCACTCTAGTGATGTCAATTGCAGTTTACAATGTACAGACATACTTCTCGATTTGTATCTTTTTATATCTTTCCACGATATATCCTAAAATTGTTATATATCCGATCACACATATGCGCTGTACAAATCTTTGCATATGTCCGATAGAGATTTATGGATCTCATTAACGTGATCATGTATTCATTGAATCCGATATGTAATATTATTCTTTAACCATTTTGTTTTAACTTGTACTTTTATATGCACGGTTTTATGCGACTTATATGTACATTGCAACCGTCACAATATATTAGAGGCTCAATTAGAATTTATAGTGACGTTAAAAAAATAATGCAACTTTAAACGAAGCAGCAGTTAGGAAGATTAGTCTCACAGATTTTTCTGAAATTAAAAGGACAATTCTTCATAATATTTATTAAAATCCATTATTATTGAAACTTGATTACAATAAAATTTACTCTTAATTAAATCCTAATTATATTTTTTTTCTTTAATCATGGTTAGGCATACATTTGAGACATATTCTTTATCTCTCTTTGTAGGCATCATCATATGTGAACAGCAAATCCACAGATGTACAAATTTTAGACTGTAAGTTAACCTATCGCGTTAAATAGCAATAATACAGTAGGTGTACATTCTCTAATGACGGTGAAACTGCGTGTATTTCTGGTGGTGCGATAAAAGGATACGTACATGAAATTTTTCAAAAAATTAATAGAGAAAAATGTTAAACGAAAAACACGAGTAATTCCAGAACGAAATGGAAAGAAACCAAATCATTGTGCTACTATCGATTTCAATGCATTTGCCGATTGTATTCGATAATTCGGATATTGTACACACCGGATATTATACATTCGGATATTATATTCCGCAACTTTAAAGCTGATGTGCTTTACTTATAATACAGCTTCTCTATTTTTAGCGTACCACCGTTGAGATGTATCGCAGCGCGTGTATTATATACGACAATGATGATATTGAGTGCAACCTATTTCAAAGCTAATATTTAATGTATATTCTAATCTTATGCGTAAAGAAAAACGGAGAATATTCAAATGTACAAGACGAGCACTGCCTTTCGCCAACAAGAGCTGTGAAGTAGGTTGATCGCAATTCGACATTCTCTAGCGAACGCATGATCGTTTTGTTTAATACATATTTCATTTGCCTTTCTCTATCCCATTTTCATTCAAATCTATTCAAAATCCGATGGATTTAATTGGTATCATTTCCCATCAGCATTGCTGCAAAATTTCTCGAAGGAATGCAAACAGAAGTATTGTGCCATTGTTTGATCTGTGGATTAGAAACACAATATTCTATTGATGATAATAATTTGATTGCATTTTAATGGCAATAACTCTACAATCAATATTATTACTATTTTTTTAAATACACACACACATACATAAAATACATTTAAAATTTTGACAGTTTATGTAGTAAAGTTTATATATTAAAGTCTGATTATTGTGAAATGTGTTAAATGATTTGAATTAATTCTATTTGTCAATTTGTCTATAAAAATATAGTGTATTTACAATATTCTGAGATATATGCATGCAGCAGCTTGGAATTTTATTTTATAATGAAAAAATAAATTACTTTTTTTTCCATCTTTTGTAACCGGATTTTGCCAAGGAATTGTGTTTAAAATATTCTTTGAGGATGTAACGAGAATAACAAGATCGAACCACGGCACAAATCTTGTTAATGCAAAAACTTGTGAATACTTGCGATACACATTTTATATATGTATATGTGTATGTATTGGTCACAATACAAAATGCGCGAGTACAGTCGACTGCCTGTATTGCGAACTCGTCGGGACCAAATACTATTCTTATTATAAAGTCTTCCCTCGATTTGCATTTTTTCCTGTAACAACATATGCGCGGAATTAGAATAAAAACATTACACGCTCTGTTCTTCTTTCTCTTTTCACTCTAATAGCGGTAAATGTAAGTGGAAAAGCGAAGAGTTGAAGAAGAACACCATTTTACGAGTATATAGTTGATTCATGAAACAGACAAGATCTTAATACGGCGCATCGCTATACGGACATTCGGTTGTAATCCTGTAAAGTATGGGACAAATGATCGTATGAAAGCGGAACTATGATTCCTTAAGAACAGTGTATATGCTTGTATATCAGAATTGAAGTTAATCCGTTTTGTGCTGCGTTTTGTGAAGATAGCGTTAAATTTTCCTATTCACGCCATCGTCTATAATTTCTGAGAGCGAGCAATGCCATGTGCGTGCAAATCGCAAAAATCAAAAGTACTGGACGGTACAGTAGAGAACATTTTAGAAAATAAGACTTTGTAAGAGAATATATAAGTTATTCCGCTCAAAGGCTACGGTATATAACATAAAGTAGCACGTTTTGATAAATCGACGAGAAAATTTGCATGTAATACATATGCGAAATCACAAAATGACATGCAACGTAAAACGACGCGGTTGTAAAAAAAGGAAGAAAAGAGATATTGATAAGAATCGTCGGCTACGCGATTGGCTTGACAATTCACTCACACAGGAAAATATCTCCTCGTGTCGTTGAAATTGTAAAATCGAAATATGGCATACTATTTGCAGGCGTCAAACAAAAGTGAAAGGAGTTTACACACTCGCAGGATAATACGTTTTAGGCTGTCACTTTATTTTTGCACCGTGGTTACGAGCATAGTACGAGATTTCTCAGCCTCGCAAAGAAACTAGTTGAACGAACTATAATATGATATACACATACGTATATTCGAATTCATCGTACAAAACTGAAATTTTCCCTAAACCACCTTTCAATGATCATGATGTATCGTTTGCCGGTTGAACGGCACCAGAGAGAAACTGCTCGGAAGAGAAAATTTTGAAGAGTTAGGGATTGACTGACATTTACCGCATTGTGTTCTTTATCGTTATCGTAATACGACGCGATGTGTTCTAAATCGAGAGATCGAGATAATCACATTATTTCCTCCTTCCTTTTACAGCGACGAGAAAATTTGCATGTAATACATATGCGAAATCACAAAATGACATGCAACGTAAAACGACGCGGTTGTAAAAAAAGGAAGAAAAGAGATATTGATAAGAATCGTCGGCTACGCGATTGGCTTGACAATTCACTCACACAGGAAAATATCTCCTCGTGTCGTTGAAATTGTAAAATCGAAATATGGCATACTATTTGCAGGCGTCAAACAAAAGTGAAAGGAGTTTACACACTCGCAGGATAATACGTTTTAGGCTGTCACTTTATTTTTGCACCGTGGTTACGAGCATAGTACGAGATTTCTCAGCCTCGCAAAGAAACTAGTTGAACGAACTATAATATGATATACACATACGTATATTCGAATTCATCGTACAAAACTGAAATTTTCCCTAAACCACCTTTCAATGATCATGATGTATCGTTTGCCGGTTGAACGGCACCAGAGAGAAACTGCTCGGAAGAGAAAATTTTGAAGAGTTAGGGATTGACTGACATTTACCGCATTGTGTTCTTTATCGTTATCGTAATACGACGCGATGTGTTCTAAATCGAGAGATCGAGATAATCACATTATTTCCTCCTTCCTTTTACAGAAAAAAAAAATGTTTAGTATAATGTATTTTACGTAAAAGTATTAGCTCGCATCAGCCCGAACGTGTTAAAAAGGGGTGGTTAAGGGATAATAAGATAAATAAGAGAATCGATTATACTCTCGAATAAATTTGTAAGTTCGATTAGAGATTAGAAACGCGGGATTTTTAAGCGAAAGAGAAAACTCTAATTAAGGAATCTAGGCTTAAACTGTACGATAAAAAAAAATAATATTGTATAATATTCGAGACGGTAAGAGAGGTGGGATACGGGAGGTAGACATGAAAACACCAAAACCTACAGAATAGCTTATCACCACTCAGGGAGAATCAGTTTATTACGCAAAATTCTGCCGAGTTTTCCTTGTGGACGTCGATTGTGCCGCGGGAGTACGACATGATATAATACAGTTGTCGAATTATCATATATTCTTGGGAGCCACGATTAATGCTGTGCCATTTTATTTAAATTTTTTATTTAAACAAGTTTATTACGAAGCCTGGCTACACGAAATAGTTGAACGGAACATAATTCATTTTTTGGATTTGTAATCGATTACAAAGCGCCTTTTCTCCTTCATTACACATGGACTTAAAATTCTCACTTAATGACTCTCACAAGCTTCTGTCATTTATAATTTGTATGAAAATTTAATCTGTCCTAAACAGCTGTTCGTAGCTCTTCAAGAATGTATGATAAAAGGTATCGAGTTCCAAACTGCGTATTGCTCGTACTGATTTGGTGAATTTCATGATTGACGACCTTGTCGAAAGTTCGCTAGGATTTCTAAAAAGAAAGAAAAAAGAAAAATGTAATGTGGATACACGAGACATCGCGTTTATACTACTGAAGAGTATTTTATGCATTATCAGTATAGTAATATCGACTGTATTGTTAAGGGATATTATATACGATACGCGCGAGGCGATATTACAGGAAATAAATGCAGCGTGGAATAACAATTGTACGGTATCCTAGCAGAGACAAAAAAAGAAGAAAAAAAAAATGAAGTTACAGAGAAAACAGTACGATGATATTTTTTCACAGCTAATCGTGCCAAATTTTTTCAATCGAATCATTGAACTTCTCGATTCCTTAGGCGGCTTATGTCAAAGCGTATGCGTAGAACGTAGAAAAAAAAAAACTCGGCGCGATATCGCGACGCAAGAAAAGGCTATTTGCACATCTATTTAGTCATTGACTCGGATAAGAGTCGTCATCATCATCATGGTCGTCGTCGTCGTCGTCATGTGTGTGTATATGCGTGTGTGTGTGTATATGAGTGAGAGAGTCGGTGAAGCTTCTTTTTCCCTCTTTGTCCATCATTTACTTCTCGGTGAGTTACTTATCGTCATATCGCGTCATTTCTGCCAAGTGCAAGAGGCAAAAAAAAAAGAAAGTTCGATTGTCTGCGTTTCTGTGTTCAATCTCCAAGTATCAGAGGTACAAAGAAAACAATTGTGTTCCTAATCATCCGAGAATCGGGCTCTCGCGAACGAGAACGTAAATTAATTAAGTAATTTTCATTTCGTATCCAAAGCCTTCTCCGACGACGTGGAGAAGATCGCGTTCTGTATACAGAATTCACATCATTGGGGGTCACATCGATGTTAACGATCGTGCGTGTAGATTTTACTTTCGTAGATAAGATCTTATCTCTCTAAGAGCGATGCGATTAAATCACATGTATAATGGACACTTTTACCAAATAAATTGTCACACTTTCCTACGATACTTTCTTAAATTTCTCCGTCTCGTGTTCTCTCGTGAAACTTAAAAGAGGAAGAAACGTTTTCCCATTTCCTCTCACGAGTTTTTAGAGTTTTGTTTATCCTGTTAATTTTCCATTAGACATCCGCTCGTAAATAATTTACGTATTTATGTATATAATTATATATACACTCGCAAGAATCGATATAGCAAATCGATTATGCGTTTAGAGTAGCTTTATTGCGTATCAGCATTTAGGAACGTAGATATCGGTGCTTATCGTGAACTTGATTTGTAATTTTTAATTAGAAAGAGAAGAAAAATAAGAGACATCTTAGATATTTTATCGCTGTCGTTCTATCTTGACAAGGTACATATATTGGTTGATATATAATTATATTATAATATTATAAAAGTCTGTGGCTCTCGTAAAGCTCTATGTCAAATTTACATTCGATCTTTTTTTACCGCAGTTTTTTTTTACTGCAAAAATAGATACTTGCGTTTTTCATAATTACACATGTGAAAGACGTGATCCCGAATGATATTCTAGTATCGCGATTACATGCCATTGTACTTTTAATCGCTAGCTGTTATTTTATTATGAAAAGAAAAAAATAGAAAAGAATGTCGAAGATCGTGAATAATTTTTTCTTGCATGTGAGCAGATATGGATTCGCTGTGTGCAGAAATAGAAACTGGAAAGATAACTTTTCATTCCTATGTGCATGTGCGCGAATCGTAATTCATATTCCGAGAAAGTGTTGAGTGAAGTTTCATTAATATTTCCGGACGAGAAATAGAAAGAGAAACAGAATATTCTAAAAGGCGAGAAAAGGCTGATCGCTCTTTTTTATTGCGCTTGTGACGCAAAAGATGATGTAAATAGTCGTCAATAATGAGGACCACTTTCTGATAGACGAAAGATATGACGAATCGAGAAGACAAATTTATAATTTGTAAAGTATCTCTATATATGAAATGAATTTTACGAATTATGGATTTTTTTTTATATATAACGAACTCGCGGTTTTAACTCGTTCCAGGAATCTTGTTTCTTCTATATAGACAATTGGAGCGAGGAATGTAAACACTAAGCGATACGATTTTGTAATGTAATTGTGCATACGACGCATATAATAAAAAAAGACTAAATGATCACATGTGATACAAGTTGTCCGACACAATCCCGTTACGCTTCGGCAATCTTCCTGCAAGTTTCTTTGTCTTCTAATCTTTTTTTTCCAACAAAATTTGACAGTATACAGTTAATGTAAAATAAATATTTATTGAATTATTGATATTAATTATTATATAATATTCTTGTTTTTTTTATATATTTTCCTCTGTCGCATAAATCTTATATATTTTTCGGTCATACATTGTTAATAATTATCTAACAAGTATACATGCGATTTTTTATATTAAATTGTTTAGAGTTTATAGAGAGATAAAAATTGCGTGGTATTGAAATTGTATTATATAAACGTTATTTTATGAATGTATATGTGTGTATTGCGGATTTTATGGCAGCATTAGAGTATTTTGGTACAAACTTGTAAAATATCAAACTAGAATATCTCAATGATATACGGCCGATTGAAAGGAATAAAAAGATATACCGTATCAGTAAGTTACTCATTATATTTTAGAATGACCTCGGTTCACGGGGTTATTATTCTTCCGCCGAGGAAAACGTGAGACTGACGACTTCCTCGTGCACACGAGCACGGCAATCCGAAGACCACGCGGACAATTCCGCGATGGCGTTTCTCTTTCTCTCTCTCTCTTTTTATCTATCTTGCTTGCTCGCTCTCTGTGCGGCCAACGATCGTGGGAAGTCTCACCTGCGACCTCGTCTCCAGCGAATCAATATTATACGAAAGCATGTGAGCAGTCTATGTACCGCGGATAATGCCGAAGACGGCTTTCTTGTCGAAGAGCGAATAGAGAAAATTAGAATCGGAATTGTCGATTTCCGATCGAGTCGCGAGCAAAACTATATATCACGTAATCGGGAATTATATTATCGGGAATGGATGCTAAGCTTAATCTGTATGTCGCAGATTCAGCTTAGCATTCATTCATAAAGAGTCAAGCCAGACTTCGACCAATATTTTTAAGTTTCGTTTTCTTTTAATAATCTATATATATGAAAAATAATTTTTAATTTAATTGAAAATATTAGAAGGATAAAAATATCGCGCGATAGAAAGAAAAAAAATCATATTAAAACACACATGGAATTTTCCATATCTAATATAGCTAATTAATCAGCGAATTTCTTTTTTCTTCTTATTCAAATCTAAATTTTTTGAACAAAAAATAATTTAAATTTTCTTTTAGATATTTTTGCATTTATAACATTTTCACGATGACAAATTTTAACAATGATTTGATACACATATTTGCGCACATGGTCTCCCCCGTAGCAAATCGATAGAGTATACATTGTTATAGCATTAGACGCGTCCGCAAAGCTCTGTCCTATGTAAAATATAAACTAATAGGATTTCTTTGAGAAGGTTACATACTCCGAGTTTTCACGCCAGATTTAACGGTAGATTTTAGATTCTTATCGAGATGAAGCAGGATTTGCACCCGGCGCGCGCGATTTTATCGGTTACGAGGACAGAGAGATTTTCATCCTCGCACGATTTCAAAAATCAAATGTTAAGTCAGTTTCTTTTCTAATTATTATGAATGCTAAATAATCGCGGGAACTATTATCGGAAATGTTAGTTAATAAATTATGATAAGAATAAATTAACATATTGCAAACTACACATAAAATTTTATTGTTAACGCAATTTCTACGGAATTATCTAATATTTTCAAAGCATTTATAAATATTTGTATATTTTAAATTTATATAGATATTTTAAAATTTTCATTTTCCGAAAAGCATTTACTTTATATTCTCTCTTCTTTTTTAATAAGTGTATCTCGTGATTATACTTTTTTTTTTTCCCTCGAAAGAACGTCACTCGTCACTATTGTGGCATCGCGCGGGGATGTATTTATGATCGGGCTTAAATCGGAGGCGCGAGGAAATAATTGGAATATAATAAAGCTCGCAGAGTGGGGAGAAGGGGGCACATTGAAACCGATGCAAGCGCGAAAGCGAACTCGAGAGACTAGGGGCAGATATATTTTGGGATGGACATCTAGCAATCACTCGAAGGGTGCAGCTGCCTAGGTATTTGCGTGCCCCAATTTCAATCCCCCCTCCCCCCCCCCTCCTTAGAGGGTGAGAGCCGCAGGGTGGATGAATGCTCTCTTTGACTTAGCTCTGCATCACTCGAGTCTTTCGATACTGTTCACGGGAAGGGGTATATTTCACAAATTTTGTACTTCTCGTTCGCACCCGACATCGCGTAAATTGCAAATAATGTACGCAAATCAAAATTGCGTTTTATCGAAATAAACTTGCAAGGGATGATCTCGAATAATGCAAATTTAATTTTTGTTAGATTTGTATTTAAATCGTATAATGCTTTTTAACTGGCTTCAACCAAAGATTCTTGTATTTTTGTTGTGCGTTGAAAACAATTTTGTATTTTTAGTAATGAATTATTCTACAATAATTTGATACCAGATTATTATTTATATTTACTGTAAATGATCATTATTTACACAGAAACATTTTTTAATTCTGTATAGAAAAATATTTTTAATCTGTTTATTTTTATTGCGATTATTCGACATCGCGAATGATATATTCTGTAACAGCACACATCTAATTTTTTTTATAAAAACTAAGTTGGGTATAAAAATGAATTTTTGGTATAATAATTTCTAAAAAATTACTTATAAAAACAGAATTATCTAAATTATGTAATTAAAAAATCATTCGTAAAAAGAACACGTGTAACGTAGACGGAACGTCGCGGATAGAGGGGACTTGAGTATTATATCTTCATTCGGGCGCTATTACATCTCCGCGTTACGTTGTAACGCACGGATGTCGGGTACCATTATTGCGACACGAGAATCGAGAATTAATACTTTATTTGTGTGTCACTCCAGCTGCGAGGATCAACACAAGTGCCCCCTTTGCGGACAAGAGGGTACTCCTAATGCGTAGTCTCTCTATGAACGGGGGCCGGATTCTATGGTTTGCTAATTTTCACGGGATCATCCTACCGTGACGTTAGAGCAGATTAGGTTCAATGCGGAGCACCGAACTTTCGCGCCTCCCGATAACCGCTTTTTTCCGGACGGTTAAATTACCGATGTATTTCGGCTGTCACGAATAAATTATAAATTTATCTTTTATAGATTGTTTTTACATTTCAACAAATAATTGTTAAAGGATAAAATTGAAAAGTCATTGCAAAAAACATTATATTTACTGAGAAATATTATCATGATCTCTTTTATGTACTGCATTATACGATTTTAAATTGTGTCGTCCGGATTAATATGTTATATATTTATCAGAGCTAGATATTTCTTATTTACTCGGTTCGTGTATTAGCTCGGGATAAATCATTAGAAAAATTGTACGCCCCCGATCGAGCATGCAAACGATAAAGGCAGGTGTGTATCGACACACCTGCGTCAACGCAGATAAACTCTCGGTCGTTCGAACACTGCATAAATCAACTCATATTTTCTTCCGAGAATATGTCTGATAAGAATCGCATCGATACGTTATCTTTCTAGCATTATTGTTTATTATCATTATTATTAATTCCTTATCTACGATCATTATAATCAATTAAATCTGCTGTCAAATAAATAGGATACCTCAAAACCATAGCAAGTTCTTTCTTTCAATTCAGGTTTTATGAAAAAGTTGTAGTCAATTTTCTGTCTTTGTAAAAAAAGATATTCATCAATTAAATATCATAATTTTGTGATCTATAAATGAGATATTAAATACAGAAAATAAATTTGTCAAAAAATTATTCAAGTTTTATCGAATTTCTCAGAAACAATTAAAGTTGATTTGTGAATATTTCAGATTTTTCTTTTAAAATTCACCGAATTGAATCGAAGATCATGCACTTATCGGGACATTTTATCAAGCAGAAGACGCGTCTTATCAGACGCGAGGGAGATTGCGAATCGATCGGGGTTACGCGACTCGCTCTCCCTTTTCCCTTCTCCCTTCAGGCCCTCCGGTGCCACGAAATCGTCCCTAATTGTCCACAAATCGACAGCCACCCTCGATTTCCCGAACCGTTAAATACAGCCACCCCGGAGGCAGCAATTGAACGGGAAAGAGGGGGGAGGAGTGGTTCCGCTAGCCCCCTTGGACATCATGGGGAGGGTTCGGGTTCACCGGGCACACCCCGTAGAATATGGATTCAATTACACCTCATTGTGCCGCGGTGTCTATAAACAACGCTGTTTTCACAGCTGATAGTGGCCCACCGTGCTGCGGGTCGTGCACTCCAAGTGAATACAATTCACGTACTATATTTTATCTGAATCTGATCGATTGGTAACTCTGAATTTCGGATTAAAACTCTCGGTTACGTTTCTTCATTTTTAATTCTTATTTATATAGAAATTACATTATGCAATTAAAATATTTATTTTTTTGCTATATAATGTATATAATTATTTAAATATTTATTTAACGATATATGACGTATTTTATATATGGTTTCTTTGTAAATTTAATTTTTCTATAAAAAGAGTCTAGACTCTTTCTATAAAACACCATCGTATAAAGATTCGGCGCTTTATAAAAGAGATCTTTTATAAAATCGCTAAACTGACAAAGAGTCTCCGACATACATGATTATTTATATACTTAATTATACGCATGTAAAATAATAATTCTGGCGTTTTTATAGACATTAATTCCGAGCAATATGATTGCAAATCGCGGTAAACCAAACGGTATTTCCCGATGCGTGCGAGCGCATAATAACGCAATAATGCGAGAGAGAGAGAGAGAAGTTTCTTATCTTTCGCACTGCGTTTGCGAAGTTGCTTTGAAGTTGTTAATGACGATAATGATGTGCGATAATGAAAGCATTTGAGTATCGCGGCGGCAACTGGAGCGCGGTGAGAGCGAGAAGGAGGTCTCGAGATGCGGTTTCGTCGTTGTCGCAATGACGAGGAGGAAAAACGGGAGGATCGTGAGAAGACTCGCAGCCGTCGACGCCATTATCCCTGCTGAGTTGCAGAGCGTCGCGACGCCGCAATATCGACGTTACCGCCTACCATATCTCTCCCTCCGTTTCCTGCTCTTTTTCACTCCTTACCATCTCTCTCTCTCTCTCTCTCTCTCCCTCCTAATCCACCCCCACGCGAACACAAGAAGCACTTTTAGGGTGTTTCAGTTATCAACCCTTCGGCGGTTTCGGCCATCTTGCCACTACCCTCTTTTAACGCGAAACCGTTGTCGAGAACGTCTTTGAGATACGAGATTTGACGAGTTTAAAAGATACCTGTAATCTTGTAAATGACGGTGGATCTTTCAAATTTATCTATTGCTCGAGTTTTAATTATAATGATATAATTTCGTGTTAATTTAATAAGTAAGAAGATTTTTAGATTTTGCAATGTTTTTATTGTCGGAAAATTCTACCTGCAGATTTGTCTATGCATCGATTTTCAATCTTAAGGATCTGCGACATAGATAGATGATACATAAGACAAATTTTTAGAACTACTTTTATTTGGCTTTGTTATTCACAATAGTGATGATGATGCTCGCCGCACATCACCTCTGTTACGTCGCGATAATGATGTATAAACGATGTACTTATCCCATTAATTCGCCTATTTTGATAATTTCTATTTACAAACCATGTCCTGCTCTCTGAACGTTCGTAAAAATATCTCATAGATATTCAGATATATAGATTTGATAGTACAAAAAACAAAAAGTATGGAAATTAAATTGGCTGCAAAATAAACGCGATTTACTCTCTTTTTAAAAATAAAATCTAAATCGGAAAGATCAATTATACTACTAATAAAAAAAAAAAATTTTATTAGACTTTGAAATTTGCTTCAGAGTTAAAAATATATTTGGATTGTATTCATTTATAAAAATGCAATAGGATATTGCTTTTATTTTCAAGTAAAACATTTTTTCTCTTTTGACGTGTGTATTTTACAACGGCTATTCGATTTATTATAACGAAGTTGCCTTTTCGATGAAATCGCGAGAAATAAATAGATATTAATATAATTAATCGCAATTATATTTATGCTTAAAGAATTTTAAAGAAACGGAGACAAAATTCGATGAAAAGGTACAAATCACATGACGAGGATCAGTGACTAGAAACGCTTCTGCTTAGACACTAAATAACACGCGAGATGAGAGGAACGTTCTTGTTCACCGTGAGTGACGCATCCGATCCTTTCTGTCCCTTGTATAAGTGGAGTCTTACGAAAGTCGTACATTTTTCTCTTGTCAACGCTCCGTCTATTCGAAAGGCGTCCCGCTTTTGGACGCCCGCGGATCCTCCGGCGTCCAAACTTTCGCGTACATCGTGCCATTCGGCGAGATATCCGATTTTCTCGACCACGAGAGCGAATGCGAGATAAATGGATTTCCACCGCACCCTGAAAATAAGTAGCAGTTCGCGATAAAAATTAACTTTATTAAAATTGTCAAAAAAAAAAAAAAAAAAAGATCAGAACCGACATAGAAATTTTTATTTTACGTAATTTGTGAAAGATATATGATTATCATTTTGAAAAAAAGATATACTAACATCTCAAAATAATAAATTGTGTTATAAAATTTTCTAATTTAAAAATATATCAAAAGAGAATATCATTTTAATTAATGAAAAAGCAGAATGTATAAATAATAGACAGTTCGCGCGGTTCCCAAATTTTTTGATAATCTCTAAATTTCTCTGAACAATAATTTACCGCGAAGCACCCCGTATCTATCGGGGACACCTGTCTTGAAATAAAGGGTAGATGGGTAATTATGATAAATCGACCCTATGTGATTCCGAGGCGGAAGTATAGTCGGTCCGACATTAATATGTTGTGCACATATAATATCGAAATAGCGTGAAGTGCGACACGTCGTGCATTAAACTAAATCATACGCGGAAATGCAATCAAAATCGAATCACGGACGAAATGTCAGCAAGGTTGGATTGCCCGTCACGTTGTAAAATCTAAATTGTAAACTACATGACATGCTATATTGTAGACTTTGAAAACCGGCTATAGCATATATAATTCATGGAAATTCTCGATATTGAAACATTTTGATTATTTACGACTCAATTTTTCAAATTGTCAGAAATATCGATGACTTTTTGAAATCTCGATATCAATTTTATCAAAGATTCCGTAGACGAAACTTTTTTCAATATAGACAGATATTAAGATTAAAAAATATTATTTATTAATATTTTTATAAATTATTATTTTATTTTANGGGGGGGGGGGGGGGAGGGCACGGATTTTAAACGTGAGATCACTACAGATATAATCGAAATTGGCCTCACCACGGACTATGATCTTCTTAGAATCATCCCGGCTGGAACATCTCGAGAGACCGCTACTGCCCGTCAGCGGATCGTTACCCTTGTCCGTCCGGACGAGCTCGTTGAGGAAGTTTATGTAACCGATCGCCAGCTTCAGCGTGTCGACCTTCGATAGCCTCTTCTCGTACGGCAAAGTCGGTATATGGGCCCTCAGACCCTCGAAAGCGTCGTTTATATTTTGCATGCGCCTTCGCTCCCTCATATTCGCCGCCTGCCGCTGCTGTACCTGCACCTGCCTCGGGCATTTTCCCGATGCTCCGCTGCGTCGATTACCTCGACTTCGTCTATGAAAAATGATGCATGTTCTATTTTTAATCCTATAATTGACAACTGTATTTAATATGTCCTCTCAAAAAGGGAAAATGCCGTTTTAAATATTTCCCGATACGATCAAAGAGAAATCGCTAAGCTTAAGCAAGATGAATCTCGAATTTCATTGGATTGATTTGAAATTTGAGATTCAAAAATATCGGGAAAAAAATCGCGAGTCCCCGAAATCGTCGAAAAATTCAAAAGACTGACTCAGAGGAAGCGAGTCTCATTTCCGGGATATACTCACTCCCTCGTGTGATTTTCCTGATCGCTGCTGTAGACGCTCTCGTTGTCGCTGCTATTCTCGTCGTACAGGTAGTGCTCGCTCCCGCTGGTGCTACCGGTGCTACCGGAGGGATGATGAGACGAGGGTAGCTGCGACGGGATGACAGCCGGAAGCGTGGCCGTCGTCGGCACACCGCAGTGAGGCGGCAATGCCGGGATCGCCGGATTCCCCAGGAAGGTGTGCGCCTCGTATAAGTATTGCCGGTTCATCATGTCCCGCTCGAGATTGTCCATCGAATACATGATGATGATGAGGATGGTGTTCGCCGATAATCACACAAATTTAACGCTTATTTTATGCGCTCGATATCGCGAATCTTGCAATTGTATTAATAACAATGCAATTTTAATTTAACGTCGATTACTAATTAACGTAAACGATATGACTAGATCGTTTGACTAGAACGTAAATGAAACTGATGTGTCTCACGTCATTTAATTCCTCGCGTTAAGCATTTTGGATTCGATTACCGAACGATTGTTTACTAACTGAATTCTAAATCCCCTTGATAATTACATATTGGCCGTATCGCCGGAATTTCGAATCGAGCACTCGATCACGTCTCGAGGATCGAGAGATAGGATCGACACGTGTCGGAGCTCTAGGCGCGTGCAGGGTAATATTTCTAAACACAACGGCACGTGTCTTGGCGAACCGCGCCGAATGGCACGTGTCAAGATTTGTCGCAACACTTGTTAATCGATTGTTCCGGAATGCCTTGGCTTCCATCCAGTGCGATGCCACTTACGATGTCGAGATAAATAAATTCGGACTTGCATTACTTTGCCAGTTATAAATTGCAGACATTTCTTCGCACAGATACACTCGAAAGATAATGTATCTTCAAGAATAATTTTTTTTTATCGCACTTCTTTATATTTTTATATTTCTTCGTATTTTTATAAGATCTTTTTCGTATTTCACAGATCCTTATTTCATTCGCTTATTCGTACTTTGGTAGCAGTTATTGAACGCATCAATTTTATTGTTTTAACGAGTTGAGGATTTCTCTTACGTCGCTTTATTAATTATTCTATTATTTATTATATTAGATTTATCACAAACAGGTTGATTTATCTATTTTCTTTTTATTGACATATTGCATTACGCGAGATTGCGGGGAGAAACTTTTACACGATATTCTCCAGAAATTTTTATCGTGATCTGTTTTATGATATAAAAATGGATCTTTTCATTTATGAATAAAAATGATGGCGTTTTTTTAATTATATGCTGTTTTTTACGATCTTTTTAAATCTTTTTCAATTAAAATTTCAAAATGTCAGCCTCTAAATATTATTATTGTATATTTGGCCATTCTTTTCACTATATAAGTTTGTTCAATCTTCGAATATTATTCAGAATACTATTCTTTAGTTCTCAGATTGCACTTTACAATTGCACCGATTGTCATTCAGATTAGATTTATTTATTACGAAGATTGTTCAAATTATTATAATTATGCATTGTTTGCAATTCTTCAAAAAGATATTACGGAGAAAATTTCTATATTAGGTTTTAAATATTCTTTAGAATCTCACATTGTCCAATTTCACTTTAATTTCACTCGGTGTTTTAAATATTTATAGATTTGCAACTTTTTTACTGTCACAATGATTGTCTAATAAATCTACGCAACACCACTGTGTATAAAAATTTAAAGAATTCCCTGAAATATTCTACAGATTATCTTCTCGAGAATTCTTTTAATTGCATTTGCACTGACAACTTAAATATTTCTTCATTCGTTGCATGAATTAGTCAAGCGTCGCAAACTGTCGTCTACAATTTTTCCGGAGAACACTATCGCGTAACTTTGGACAGTCCTTTAAATACTCTTCAGATCGTTTCGGGATTTCGAGGGAGTCAAGACCTCTCGCAGCTTCTTGCCGACAGACCACCTATCGTGTTCCGGTCGCTCAGGTGGTCTCTCGTTGCACTAAAATCGAAAAGCGGCAAAGCGGAAGCCATGCCGGGGGTTGAAAGCCCAGCTACAACCCCATTCGTTGAACGCTTGGCTGGCAGAGCCTGCCTATCCCTTGGTTGCTGGGGTAGCGGCGCCGCCTCTTCATCGATCTGATAAGGAACCGCTTGTCGTTCCTAGATATCATCATGGAACGTAAAAACGCGGCCCGCGGCCAATCGAAGCGCATGTTTTCTCGAAAATAAAGAGATGCACGAAATTTAAGAAACTACTTGTGTCACAAAAATATCGCAAAGCAAATCCAGCTCCGAAGGAAAATTACGTGTATCTTTATTTAAATAAAAGTAGTACTATATCGGGGTAAATGTGTGGTTGGTGTAATCAAGATCCAAAATATCGTGCAAAATTGAACGCAAAATTGAAATACTTAATAAAGTCGCAGGATTATGAGAAAAGTATTTTTATCGTATTGAAAAGTATATTTATATCTAAAAATTAAAGATGCATATGTGTAAAAAGCAAAATGTTTAGAAATTTAAATAAAAGATCTCTGGAAACTATGACGAATATAATTTTTCTATGTGCATGTGTATATTCATATATGAATCCTTATTCATTGAGAGTCGCTAAAATCGGTTATAAATATAGCGTATAAAAAACCTTGAGAAACTTTACGTTCTTTCGCGACAACTTCTCAGACAGTAAGTTAATCGCGAGCTAAGTAAATATAAATATTTCGAAAGTAAATTTATTAAGTGAATTTCTAAGTATTTCCTTTCATCATTTGAACATTTCTTTCAAACTTTTGTGAAAATTATTAAAAAGATCTATTCAAACGATAATAATTTTTTCTAATGGTATTTCAGAACCATTTACTGTATATCGAAACTAGATTAAATTAATAACGCAGTGCCCAGACCTTATACAGTCGCTTGGCATTTTCGCAGAAAGTTTTCATCGCCGTTGAATGTTGTTCGTTATTTGCGAACTTGGCAAATCATAGGTTTTGCACGTTTTCGCCGAACCTATAGAATTTTCAAGTACAGTCTATAGCTGCTTCATGAATTCGTAATTGTCTAATGGACGCGAGCGAAAGTCCATTGCAGTAGACCAAACCGGTTATAAACCGGAGAGGAAAAAAAGAGAATTTGCAATGTAAAATAACGAAGCATATTAATATTTTTTTTTTTTTATTCCTATCTATCTTTCCACATTTTTTGTGTGTGTTTTCTTGATATATGAATTTCAATACACTAAAAAATGCGTAATATATATATATATATAATATAATATATGCATACGTGAAATATGTAAAAATAATTTTTAAAACATATATTATTATATAATTAATTATACATACATATTATATGTATATATATTGCAATCACACACACATACACACAATATGTAAAATATCTTTGTATATCTCGCTCGTGGAGTGCATAATCGATGCTTCGTCCTCTCATTTCAATTCTTATCTCTCTCGAATTGTTACAAACAGCGAAGAGCGCATCGCCGGAATCACAGGTAAGTCGTAATAAAAAAGAAATTGGTCGCACGTGACTCGCACGTGCGGCCGCAACATCGTGCAATAGGGTTGCGTCCTGGGGTTAACCGCTTCGGCGACATTTGGCCCTCTCGGGCAAACCTGTAATTATGCGAGCCGTAACAGGTACCGATCTGATTTCTCCACCGCGTTATTAGACGCAAGATAATAATATTTAATGACACCCTGCGAGAGAGAGAGAGAGAGAGAAATATTTAATTACGCCGGCAATATGTTTGCCGGATGCACGCGTCTAAACCGGATAATACTTTAGATGTACAAAAAAAACGGATATTGCGTTCGTTAATAGCCAACGTTACATAGAAAAAGAGAGAGAGAATCTCTCATGAACAAAATAATAAAATACTATTTGATACTAATCGCTTATTTTTTTGAAATTATATAAGTGATGTAAATTAATATAAAAGTAATCGTGTAATGAATAACTGATCACAATTAAGATCTGAATGTTCGAATACAGTTGCAATTAATCTTATATCATTTTATTTAATAATGATAAAATAGTCGTATACGACATAAAACTTAAAAACGGAAAAAATCTTAAAAAAAAAAAAAAAAAAAAAAAAAAAAAAACACGTGTCGCACACACGGAGAGAGAGTATCATTTGTTTTGTATTCGATTTATGTAATATTTGCATCGAATATTGCCACAAGAAGTAAGTAAAAAATTTAAAAAGAAAGTTAATTGTGAAGAAGAGCTTTGTCGATTAATAATATTCACTGTTTTAATTATAATATAATTTTCGTGAAGCGCAAGATTTCATAATGAACAATTGTGTTAAGGTCTTTGCCTTGAGCATCTAAAAGAATTGATCTTTTTTACAGTTCTCATTACGATCGATAATAATCGATACAAATAATATGTATAATTAAAAAAAGAATAATGTACTTCGTCATGTGTTCGTAAAAATATTGGTTTAAGTACTTTTTTCTACAATGACAATAATTATAATATATATATTACATTGTTTTATGAAAATAATCATATGTGTTATTCATGACAAACGTGTTAATATTTAATCTAAATAAATTTACAGTAGATCCTTTCTTTGATAATGCCGACAAACTAATAAACTAAGCCCTGTTACAAATATTCGTTTCCGGATCTCGTCCATTACGTTTCGATAATTAGCGGCCTAAAATTATGAGGCGAGGGTACGTCGTGCCGGATGAATTATAGTTCCATCTGTGATGCTTCTCCGGAGAGAATCAGGAAAACGGTGTTACTATTTCCCACGGTTGTAATTAAAACCCCCATCCAGTCGAAAATTGTATCTTGAACGGTTGGCGTTTTTCGCGTTACTATGTATTTATATTAAAATAATAAAGATATTTATATATTTTGCAATTACATTGGTAATTTAATGATTTAAAAAAAAATGATTAATTTGAATTGAATTTGAATTACTCTTTAAAAAAAATTCTCCTTTATAGAAATATATGCAAATGTATAATGAAAATATGGTTATAAAACTGGCACAAATTTTATCATATCTGCAAGAAATTCATGATACTAAATTCGAGTTATTTCATGATACTAAATTCGAATTATTTTCAAATAAATAAAACAAAAAGCAAAAATTTTTTATTGTTTTATATGTATACCTTTCAATCGAATTTTCAACAGGCCGCAGCTTGTTTCGGTATAATCCGAAATGAAAATACTACGTCGGCACAGACCCATTGTGCCGCAATATTTTTGATCCTCGAGATCGAGAGATAACTAAAGGGGATCTCGGATTTAAATCGGTAAAGCTTATGGCCACGTGTACGCGCTTAAATGCGATTCCGACGACGGCGGATCGGATTCGCTCGATCTCGCTTCGCACATCGACAATCGGATAAATATTATCTCTACTAGACCTCGAAAAAAATTTGCCATCATCGATCGTAGTATAAAAAGGTATGATAAAGCGTCTTAAGCACGGAGAACATCATCTTTGATTCAGATAATTTTGAAAAAGGGGGAAGGTTGAGTCGCAATTAAAAATTTGCATCTGTTCTCTTTCTCTTTCTTCTTTCGAAGCAATCATGAAAAACTCCGGATTAGACGATCCATGGATAAAGCGATTTTTCACGGTACATCCTGACAGGAGAAAACCATGGCTAACACCTGGTACACGGAACGCGCCAGAATATCCTGTCTATCGAAACGCAATCGTAAGTGTCTATTAATTTATACTCAGCGGGAGTGTGAAATCGATTTACGTTTATGAATTGGGGTAAGACATCCACTTTAGACAATAATTTTCCGTCAGAACATTAATCTTATCGCGAATTATATTATATATATATATATCATAATATCAAAATAAAGATAAATAATTACATATGAATTAATTTATTAGAAAAAAATTTTTAATTTTATGTGTATAAAATGTGTATGATAAATTTATGTGTAAAAAACCTGAAGATATATTGGTATATATTAATAATTGGGATTTTATATTAAGTAAGGGACCTAAAAATTATGATAGAAAGACGGAGAAAGTATATATGTGTGTTTAAATATTTATATAAATAAGAAATACTTTCTTCTCTCTCTTACACTTCTTCTCATCATCATTATATTTTCAACACTAGCTAAAACGTGTAGCGAATGCATAGCTCCTAAAATAGAAAAATAGCGAGACGATTAAAACTATCAGAGTTCTCGCTGTTCCCTCAGCACAATGACGAGTCGCAATAACAAATCGATTGTGCGGATGCCGAAGACACACACATACACATATACGTACACGTATTACGGAGGGAAGCTTGTTCCCCAGAAAAACTGGGAAAGGCGGTGCATTGGAGCGTGGAGTGTTTTGGGGTCTCGTGCCCCTTTTACGCGGGGTCGCGTGTGAGGACACCACAGGGGGTAACATCCAGCCCTAGATACCGGAAACAGTTTGGCGGCACCGGATACGAGAGGCGCATTATTAGACAGGTGGCTGTGGGCCTCCTTATACGCGGACACGAAAGCTCGATGACTAGGACAAGTTTGGCCTTGTCAATGAAGTGTAAAAATAGAATAAGCGAAAAAAAAATAGAAGAAAATATATAATTATATAATATATTAAATGTCAATAATTAAAAAGTATTAGAATAATGCATCTCTCAATGACAAACAATTCAATATGCGTTTTCGATTATCTGCTGTCTGATTGTTATTTTATCTTGATGTTATTTCATCTTATCGTTATGCGGATGAAATTTATGAATGTTACATAGAAATAAAAGCATTTATTCGGCAACGAACGTATGTCATGCAGATGTGCATACGACAATCAAATATTTTTATTCATATATCTATCGAGATTATTATCAAGATAGCTTTATCGTCAATGGGGAACATCTCGTTAAATGCTATTCAAAGATGATATGAGATATAATCTACGCATTAACTCGCTTATCAATGATTTTTGCAACTATGTTTTACGCTTAGCTAGTGTGATTTGACGT